CTGCTGTGTTCATCCAGCTCTACACCTTGTTATCTCTTAATCAGCATTCAGTTTGGGCAAAGCTAAGCAGGTCCTGGCTGGGTCTGCACTGACAGAGGAAGTTCACATTTTCCGGTCCTGAGCCAAAATGTTCCCCAGAGTGACCTGCTGAGCTTCTCCAACATTTTCTGTCTTAGCAGGAGTCACTGATTGTCCAGGGACAGTCCCTCTGACCGGGTCTTTCCATTTGGCTTTTATATTGATAATATGGTTCAATGGGTACCCCGCTACTATTTAGTGCCATTGTCTGTTGTAGGTTCAAAAATCCACCCCCACCAAATTCAACCCAGCATTCACACAAGGCGTCAGGACCGAGGGAGCGCCGCACTGTCGGAGGGTCAGCACTGCACTGTCAGAGGGTCAGCGGCAAGGAAGCAGGCACTGTCATCAGTGCTGAGGGAGTGGGCACTGTCGGAGGTTTAGTGCAGATCTCCCTTAGTGCTGCACTGGAATAGTCAATCTGCTTTTGTCCTCAGTTCCCTGGTGTGGAGTGTCTAACCCACAGCCCTGTGAGTCCTATGTAGGTCAAGCCCAAGGGGCCAGTACCTGATTAGCCAGAGGGACAGGGGGCTAGTTAGCTGTCATTCAACAAGTAACTCCAAAACCTAGTGGTTGCAGTCTCAGGTACACCTTCTGCCACAGAATGTACTTCCACTGTTTGTTGAGGAAAAAGTGATTCAGGGAAGATGTTAGACCAATGGGGACATCTGTCCTTTTGGGTGGCTGTGTAAGATCCCATCGACATAAATGGAAGGAGAGCTGGGATTGCTGTTCGCCATAAGAGCCTTACCAATCACTATTAACTCACAGCCTTGCCAATATTCATCCGTCAACCGACTTTCGAATAAAACTTGTTGCCTTTCCAAGCACTAAGGGCCATTGGGGAAGCACTGGGACCCTCCGGAGGCAGGGAAAAGGGTTGCTTTTAAAGACTGGGGTTTCAGATGGTTTAACCCCCCACCAGAAATAAATTATAATCCAGATGACATGGCACAGTTAGAAAAGAGAAGGCAGAGGAGAGTGGAAAAGTTCAGGTAAGGAAACAGGAGGTGCATATCTTGAGTTTAATTGGCACTGACACAATCTGAACAAGTTAGAGGAACTGACAAGGCACCATCATTTCATATACACCATGTTGATCTAGACCAGGGCAGATGCACAGCAAACTCCACATGGAGAAGGCAAAACAGAGATCTGGGATAATTCGCCAACTGTCCCAGAAAGAAATCCATCAAAAGCTGGTGTTGAAAGGTACATAAATGCTTGAAGAGGCCATTGAATGAGGGAAGCCACTGGAAAAGTTTCAACCTCGGCCAAATATGCAAGATGAGGAGGTACACCATGGTCTGGAACAACATGCCAAGACATAAAAGGCCAGAAAACGTGGCATAGATTCTGAAGGTGGACCGGAGTGTGAACACAGCCCTGAGGAAAGATCATACACTTACAAAAGTATCACAGGAGGTGGAGATCATGGAGCCAGGACGAGATAGGAGGGCGAGTTGTAGTTAGACAAAAAGGGGCTGTTCTCTCATCGGAGAGAGAAAGAGATAAGATAAGACTGGGGGTGGTTTAACCTGAGGGCCACCATACCTCAGGCAAGAGGAGAGATTGAGGAGGAGAGACCTTCACATTAACCTCAGCCAGTGATGGAAATTGAACCCACTCTGTTGGCATCACTCAACATCGCAAACCAGCCTTCCAGCCAACACAGCTATAACCAACCTCAGTTTGACAAGGAGGACAACGAGAAAACAGGTTGCAGAAATCATTAGAAGCCCTTTGCAATTGAGAAACTTTAATGGCCATGAGCATGTTAGATAGATGAATTGAATTTCTTTTCCAGAGGAAAAGCCAAAGCAAAGAAGACAAATTATTGAAAAGAATTTGGTGAATTATACCTGGGAACACATGACACAGAGAATTAGACAGCAAGACGGTGGAGATGGCAGGTTAGGGAGTGTTTGGGCTCCTGGCCTTTCAGCTGACCAGCCACGTCCTGTATTTTTTAGTATCTCTCAATTTCACCTTTTGTATCAAACTCAACTTTGCTCCTTTCTGTGGCTGAGGTGTGACAGTTTCAGTTGGACAGCGGCCCCATCTCGGTCCTCAGCAGTTTCGATAGTCCCTCCCGGTTCCTGGCAGTTTTAAGAGACACCCTGGTTCTCGGCAATCAGACAGAAGCCGGTCCTCAGCGGTTTGGATGGGACCCCAGTCTTCGGCGGGACCCGAGTCTTCAGCAGGACCCCATTCTCGGCAGTTTCAAGAGGCCCCTTAGTCCCTGATGGTTTCAACAGTCCCCCCGCCGAGCCCCACTCCCCTGGTCTTCAGCGGTTTAGATGGTCCCTCCTGGTCCTCAGACAGATCCCGGTCCTCAGCAGTTTTGATGGGCCTCAAGTCTTTGGCAGCGCCCCCATAGTCCTTTATTTTTAATTCATTCACGGAATGAGGGCATCGCTGGCCAGGCCAGCATTTATTGCCCAGAGGGGGAAGTTGACAGGCAACCACATTGGCTGTGGGTCTGGAGTCCCATATATGCCAGACCAGGTAAGGCATTTCCTTCCCTAAAGGGCATTAGTGACCCAGATGGGTTTCACAATCATCATTAGACTCTTAATTCCAGATGTTTTTATTGAATTTAAATTCCACCATCTGCTGTGGCGGGATTCAAACCTGGGTCCCCAGAGCGTTATCCGGGTCTCTGGATTAACAGTCCAGCGGTAATACCACTAGGCCATCGCCTTCGCTCAGCAGTTTCAACTTACCCCCCGACTCCTCCAGCCAGGTCCTTAGCAGTTTCAAGAGGCCCCTGATCCTCAGCAGTGGCTGGTTTGTGAAACCAAGGAATGAATAAAAGTGGTCTTAACTTTGTCTCTTTATCTTAAAAAAAGTTATAATTTATATAATCAAATGGCACCACTTTTGTGGTGACTTACACACATTTTACTGTATTTTCATAAATACAAGTAACAACAAATTTCTATCTATCAGAGAAAATTTTATGTTTTATTCATTCATGGGATGAGGATGTCGCTGGCCCAGGCAGCATTTATTGCCCATCCCTAATTGCCCAGAGGGCAGTTAAGAGTCAACCACATTGCTGTGGGTCTGGAGTCACATGTAGGCCAGACCAGGTAAGGACGGCAGTTTCCTTCCCTAAAGGATATGAGTGAACCAGATGGGTTTTTTTTTCCCCCAACAATTGACAATAGTCATCGTTAGACCCTTAATTCCAGATATTTGTTAAATTCATATTCTACCATCTGCCGGGACAGGATTTGAACCTTGGATTCGAACCCCAGAATATTATCAGGGTCTCTGGATTAACAGTCCAGTGATAATACCACTAGGCCATTGCCTCCCTCCAATGCTCCCTGATGGAGCGTACAAGGCTAGAGCCAGGCCCTAGCTTCTGAAGAGAGACTGGATTCTCCTCCTACAGGGAAAGGAATCGTGAAGCTGTTCTTGGCCATTTTAGGGTCATATTCCTGGGAAGCTAATCAACGTAAAAGCTGCATTTTTGCAGGGCACAAGGTTCCAAAGGGAAGTGTTTTTGAAATCACTGAAAGGTGCAGGTGACTTAGAAAGGAAGCAATGGAAATTAAATAAAAATGTCTGTATGGTTGACTGATGCATCATGTAGCTAAAAGATGGTTGCATTGTGCTCGTGACAGAACTGTGGCTTTGACAGGTTATTTTGTCCTAGTTTCTTTCCTAGAATCCCTCCAGTGTGGAAACAGGCCATTCGGCCCGAGAAGCCCACACCAACATCCCCCCCAACACCTCCCCCCACACCCCCGACAAAGAGCATCCCATCCGGACTCACCCTGTTACCCTATCCTTGTAACCCTGCATTTCCCATGGCTAATCCACCTACCCTACACATCCCTGGGCACACTACGGGACAATTTAGCACAGCCAATCCACGCTACCCTGCACATCCCTGGGCACTATGGGGCAATTTAGCACGGCTGATCCACTCCAACCTGCAAATCGTTGGACTGTGGGAGGAAATCGGAGCACCCGGAGGAAACCCACGCAGACACGGGGGGAGAATGTGCAAACTCCACACAGACAGTCACACGAGCGTGGAATCAAACCTGGGTCCCTGGTGCTGTGAGGCAGCAGTGCTGACCACTGAGCCCCTGCATGACTTTGTTAAAACAGAGAATGAATGAGAGGTGACAAGCAGTCTGTAAGAAAATAAACAGCTTGTGAAGCCTTAGGTTTTTATTTGTTTAAAAGTTGAAACAATAGAAGCAGCTTGGACGGGTGTCATCAAGCTCCCACCCACAAATAAGATTTTTAGTTTTAGCTTTCAGCAGTTGTTGCTGGGGTCTCAGAAGGGTGGAAGCTGCAGTAAATCTCTCCTGCTACACTCAGTTTTCTCTTGAAGGCTTTCCTCTTGGGCTACTGCAGTTGCTGCTGGGTCTGGAAGAGGTGAAAGCCATTTTTCTCCTCTCTCAGTCATAGCCAAAAACTGGGAGTTTTCTTCCTGCTGTGGGAGCTGGATGTTAGATGATCTGTTTTCTGAATTTGCCTTTTGCCAAGGGGACGTTACTGTATTGGATCAGTTAATTAGTAATAGTTACTGGATCTATTATTCTGTTAAGTTTTCCAACAGTAATTCCCAATTCCTTCTTTGTGTGGCTCAGTGGTTAGCACCGCTGCCCCACAGAGCCAGGGACCGGAGTTCAATCCCACCTCAGGTGACTGTCTGTGTCGAGTTTGCATGTTGTTCCCGTGTCTGCGTGGTTGTCCTCTGGGTGCTCCGGTTTCCTCCCACAGTCCAAAGATGTGCAGCTTACGGTGGATTGGCCATGCTAAATTACCCATATTGTCCAGGCATGTGCAGGTTAGGAAAATTAGCCATGGGAAATGCAGGGTATTAGGGACAGGGGACGGGTCTGGGTGGGATGCTCTTCAGAGGGCTGGTGTGGACTCCATGGGCCGCATGGTCTGCTTCCATACTGATTCTATTCAGTATAGTGGATAAATGAAGTGTGTTTTGTTTTAAATCACCTTACCATTACCTTTAACATAAGAAAATGTTATGATCTAGACTATCTTCTAAATATTTTGAGGGGGTTTGGCCTGGTCCATAGTACGCTTTTTAAATTAATACTAATTATCAAAACACAAATATATCAGGAGTTAGGGCTCTTGTGCAATAGTGGTAATGTCCCCATCTCTGAGCTGGAAGTCCTGGGGTTCAAGTCCTAGCTGTGTATCATAATACGTCTGGATAGGTTGATAGAAAAATACCCAAATTCTTCTCTGGGGATCTAGTGGTGAGTCCCACCGCTCTCCAGAGGTGTGTTATCACAGCTCTCAAGTTATTCAGAAATATCCAAATTTACTGGGAGCATCTGCAACACCAGGGGACGCAGTGAGCTTGGTGACTGAGCAGTCAGTAAACTTCATCTGAGAGGGATTAAAAAAATGCAAGTTCCGCTTCACTGGCAGGCTTCCATCTGAATTGAGATGTAGGTCAGCAAAATAGAAAGGTTTAGATTAAGAAAGAGAGACCTGATTATGTCGTCCCCCTCATTTTCTGTCAGGGGTAACCAGATTATGAATTCCGCAGTGGGCATTCATAATAGGCACAGTCAAATGTTGTTAGGGAGATGTAACAGCAGGAACGGCAACTCAGCATTTGTAGCAAGTTTCGGGCTGATGACCTTGTGCCAGAGAATTGTAAGTGTAAATATAAGGGCTGCATCACAAATGCATATATAGGCCTAATCCCTGCTTCATTTGTAGAAGGCATCTAAACTTTGACCTTGAGAAGTTGTGCTATTCCAGATCAATCACTGCATGCTTCAGTTTCATTTTTAGAGTTCTACCTTTCACCTGAAGGCTGGCTCTTGCTGGGGGAGGGTGGGGGAGTTCCTTGTAGTCTTGGGCTCCCTTTGGACCTTGGCCCAATCCTCCTGCAATCCTGGAGAGTCACAGCACGGGTTACACCCTTCAGCAGCTCTCAGGACTTGTGGAGATTCTTTTCCTTTCCTCACAGACAGAGGTGCCAATGCCAACTGTGCAGCCCCCAAACCCGGCACTTACTTTCAAAAGCTGCCTTGGGCCAGTGTTGTTGGGAAGCTCGAGGGGTCACTGCTGGTGAACAGGACTTACAGACGCTACTTGCCAACATTGACACCGTTCCAGGGAAATTCATCGTGGTGTGTATGAATGCCCTGGGACAAATGCAATTCCCATCCGAACTCCCAACCCACCCCAAGACACAGACACAATGGGCTGAACAGCCTACTTCTGCTCCTCGTCTTATGTTCTTGGCTGGGACTTGAACCCTGACCTTCAGGAAGAGGGGTAGGGACGCTGCCAACAATTGTCTTCCCCACTGTTATTAGACTTCTGAATGGACCTCTCAAATTTTAAATGTTGATGTCAGTCTTTGTGCACCTTCTCTGCAGCCATAACATTGTATTCCTTGCTCTGTTCTATTACCCAAATTCACTTATTTGGGGGGGGGCATGGTGGCTCAGTGGTTAGCACTGCTGCCTCACAGCACTAGGGACCCAGACTCAGGCAACTGTCTGTGTGCAGTTTGCATATTGTCCCCAACCCCGTGTCTGCATGGGTTTCCTCCGGGTGCTCTGGTTTCCTCCCACAGTCCAACGATGTGCAGCTTAGGAGGATTGGCCATGCTAAATTGTCCTGTATTGCCCAGGGATGTGCAGGTTAGGGTGGATTGGCCGTGCTAAATTGTCCTGTAGTGTCCAGGGATGTGCAGGTCAGGGTGGATTGGGCATGCTAAATTGTTCAGTAGTGCCCAGGGATGTGCAGGTTAGGGTGGATTGGCTATGCTAAATTGCCCCATAGTGTCCAGGAATGTGCAGGCTAGGTGGGTTAGCCATAGGAAATGCAGGGTTATGGGGATAGGATCGGATGCGTTGTTTGGAGGCTCAGTGTAGACTCGATGGGCCAAATAGCCTCTTTCTGCACTGTAGGGATTCTGTGTGTGATCTGCCTGTACTGTCTGCCAAACAAAAGTTTTCACTGTATGTGGGTACACGTGACAATAATAAATCACATCAAATATTGTCCGAACCCATCCTAATGATCTAACCAATTAGCATCCTCCTCTTATGCAGCATATAAATGGTGGTTTTGGCCTTAAAGTGGTATTCTTGCAAAATGTCCTGATGACAGCAAGATGAAACACTTCAACAAAATATGCCTCATTATCAGCAGGTTCTGTGCTACCACAATTTCCCACTTAACACTGGGACCAGGGCTAAAGTATACTAAAGTGGTGGCTCAGCATCAGCTTCTTAAGGGCAGGGGTCAGAGTGGACAACAGACACCAGCAATGTCTTACCAACAGAGAATTTTACTTTTCAATGTTCTGTTTCTTGGGATGGCTAGTTAGACCACAAGCTTGGAAAATAATCGAATCAATCGCTTGCAGGCAAGACAAGGATAAAATATTGAAGTTCTCGAGCGAATACAAAAAGAGCAGTAACTTACCACTCTTGGTCACTGCATCCCGGTCTTCCGAAATTTGAGGCTTGGTAATCAGAATTCCAAAGTCATAACTAATCCAGTCGCAAAGAGAAGCAGTCGTTTGTTAGACTTAAAAGACAGCCAATTTACAAGTGCAAAGAATTTTCAAATAAACTTGCTCCTCTCTGTTCAGATCATTCTAGCGAAAAGAAAAGCAACAAAATCTGATTTTGTTTACATATAATCACACCACCCCCCCAACCCGTCCACTTAATTCCCTTAATATCCCATACATGTGCACCTCATCTGGCATCCTTCCAACTGTTTGCAATCTCACTGTGGTTAAAGAGGGACAATCCTGCAGGACTTGGAGCAGAGAGGAGCAGATGGCATGGATGATTTGCTAAGGGCTAACACCATATTGATGGCCCAAATGGCCTTTTATTTGGCCACCCACATCCTTTTGGCATCGTTGCTACTCCTGGTACAAGCAGGGTGATGTGGGAGGCAGACAGCAATATTTACAAAGGTCAGTTACTAGCCACCAGCAGAAAGCTACAAACTCAGCAGAAAAGTTGGATAATCTTCAGCAAAAACATGCAAACAAAAAGTTCATACTCTCTTGTTACCCTGAATATAAACACACATCATTTTCCCAAGTATGTACAAAAATAAATTTTATTTCAGTGTGAGAACAGAGCTACTACCTCAATCTAACATCAACCCCTGACATACTCAAAATGAACTACATCCAGTTTGATTTTTGTTACAAGTAAACATTTGCAGTCGTATGAACAATGCAGTGTTGACTGCTACAGAGGACATGCAGGTTAGGTAAATGGCCCCAGCCCTTACACCAATTCCTTAATAATATTAAATTTCACTCCCCCACCCCCCGCCTTTCAAATTCCGACCAGCAATGGGATTCCTTCATTAAAGTGACAATTACAAACTTTGAACATTCTCCAAATGCTGTTTAGCTTTTACTCTGCAGCTGTGAGGAAAACAAAGGTTAATGACATCCTTTTTTTTTGATTAACTCGCTCTGAACTCCAAACGATAAACAGTTTTGCAGCCAGTGTAAATTTCAGTACTGGACGTATTTTCAATTGAGACTACAGGACATCATTAGAACAAAAGACAATATAAATAAAGACTAATATAATCTCAAAGATTGGGTTCAGTTGCACAACTTTCATGATGCAGAACAAGAAATGCAGAGAACTTGTGTTTTTAAACTATTACTACAACAACTATGCTACAGTCAGAAGTCACATGACACCAGGTTATAGTCGAACATATTTATTTGAAATCACAAGCTTTCGGAGTGCAGCTCCTTTGTTAGGTTTCACCTAATGAAGGAGCAGCGCTTCGAAAGCTTGTGATTCCAAATAAACTTGTTGGACTATAACCTGGTGTCGTGTGACTTCTGACCTTGTCCACCCCAGTCCAACACTGGCACATGCTACGTAATAACAGGGAACGTAGAAAATACTCAGCAGGTTGACCCTCTGAGCCACTTGTGGTGTTCACGACTCTCCTGCTTTCTGGCTGGATACATGGAGTTTTGTTTTCCTGAAAAGTGATCACAAAAACTCCTGCATTCCTTGTTAAAAGGTATGCCTGGGCAGCAGCTACTTAACAGTACAATGCAGAGTCATTAAACACTAAATCCGTGCTCCTGTACATTATAAACTTCAAATTAAAATATTTTCAAAATACCTGTTATGACACATCTCCAGTGCAGGTGGAACTTGAACCCAGGTCTCCACAAGAGACACTCAAACCTTAGATTAACCTAATACACAAGGCCCTTAAAATGAAGGGCAATAAATGAGCCAATGGGACCATTACCTGAACTGGGCTTTGATATTACTGCATTAACAACATCTAATTTATGTCGCCAGATCAGGTGAAATTCTCATTTCTTTGTTCTGGCAGATGTAAAATGGACCTTTCTCAGATGAACAAAGGGCCCTTAATCAGTAAACACATTGCTACCAGTTGTATTGTTTTGTGTGTGCCCACATTCTGCGGTCTTAAGTCTCCGTTCTGCTGACCCAAGGGGCCAGGCTGCTGTGCGCAGTTGTTCACAGAGAGGCCAGTTAAACCAGCCGTGGGTTATCCATGCCCACTTCTGGCTCAGAAGCGAGGAAGTTGCAACACCACCACAGGAATCAGTGGTGCCTTAGAAAGGTGCCACAGAAGGACGAAATAGAGAGCAAAAAAAAAAACAATAAAAAGAACAGTGAGGTATTGGAAAGAACAAAAATGAAAGATGTGGTGGGGGTGGGCATGGGAGGGAAGGTCAAGAGTGTTTCCTCAACACAGCTGAACACAGGAGGACAGTGCATTTAGCTCACTGTGTGTTTAATTCCCAAACTGGGATTAAAAATGGACTATTTTCACACAAGAAATACAATGGTGTTTCACTAGATCCACTTGTAACTCCTTACAGTTGTTCACAGGTACCTGGAGGGGTGAGGGTAATAATATAATTCTTACATCTTCCTTAAAAGATAGGATATTGGGTAGAACATCTTTTCTCTATCCTTTAGTGTTGTTCCTGTGTTCACTAATAACAGCAAATGTTTACAACTATGATCAGCAGTAACAGCTCCTGTTTGATTTCCTTTATAAACAAAAGGACATTTTTTCCAACTGCTATCTTTTGAGTAGATCTTTCAGAAATAACACAGATAAGAAGTGTTTCCCAATCTGTTCACAGCATGTCTGCCAGAGAAATTCTTAGTCCTGGCTTCAAAATTGCTGCCATTTACTCCCAGAATAAAGCTTTAAATGCAATCATTTTACAATTCAATGCAAACCAACACGAAAAACAAAATCCTTAAATATTTCAGTTTTCTGGGAATGAAGTTGGCCTGAACTGATAGTGTGTTTCTTAATGTGAGCTCATGGGAGGAGATAGGGAAGGACAATTTCAGCTTCTGTGGTCTAACATTGCCTGGCAACTAAAGGTTTCTCTCCTCTCTCCAAAGCAACCAATTTTCATGTTATACAACAAATGGATTGAAACTCCAGAACAGCAGACTTGACAACACAGCTTGTACCTTCCACGCAACTATAACTGTAAAATATGTCACGTGGCACATTTCGATCTTCGACTTATTGGGGTCTCCAATGAATTGTCTATGGATTCTGAACTACCTTACACACTTACAATCTCATTAATGTTTACAATGTGTTAAGCAACAATTCACAATTCCTAAGAAGTGCTTCCTCCCAAAAGCATGCATAATCTTGCATGATGTGTGAAGTACACCTCCAGATTTTGGTAGAACTCTAATATAACACAACAGGAAGTTCACATAACTAATGCCACCAAGTCTCTCGTATATTCTTCCTGGTAGGAGAGAAAGGGGTAATTGCGATTGAGAAACACAACTGTCTATACTGGGAATCCACGACGCAATACTGTGCGCCAGGTAAGAATCATCAGTTACGAAACAAAGAGTATAGACTGATCAATGTGCCTGAGTAACAGCGTTGACCAGTAAATCTTACTGTCAAAAGATGAAGAACCTCAACCTCTGTCGACTCTACAGATGGCTGAGTTAACAAATTTCCCATAGTCTTACCAGGCCATAGGGCTGCTCTCCAATTAGAGAAAGACAGCTGGCACTGGTTTACCAAGGGTCACCACGCTTCAGGTGAGATTGGGAAGGAGAATCCTTCACGGTAGCCTCAATCAATGTGGGATGATATCAACTATGAAAAGCAGATGCAGATCATAGCACTGATGCAGAGAAAAAGGCCAGTCATCCAAGCTTAGAATTTCCAAGCTGGCAAAGAAAGAGTGTGAAGGGCGTGACCCAAATCTCCATTTATTTCTTAATGAACAAGAATGTTATTGGCTGGTGGGTTTGCAAACAGGTTTCCCTGTGCTTTAGACTGAAAAAAAGATGGTGTCAGAATAATTGCACAGAAGGGAATGTTGCACACATTGAAGCACAGGCACTTGGAAGTGATATCAGGAGTTTGCTTTAATCTCTTTATTCAAGTTGAACAGGGAACAAGAAAAAAAATCTGATACAAACCCTCTGCCATCACTTTTCTCCAAAACCTTTTAAAATTTCAGATGAACTGCTGCAAGAGTTGGGCAGTCAGTATGGTTTTAAGAGTTATTGTAATGGTTACTTTCAGCCAGAGCAAAATAACACGACTTTATAAGGCTTTAAAGTGATTGAGAAGCAAACTGCTCATCAAGGTTCACTGTCATGGTTTTACACACTTGTTAGAACTGTAACAGTTGTCAACATTCCCCACAGATCGGTCTGACTTAAAGGGAGCCTCAAGCAACTGTCCAGAAGCTGCAGACTTTCAAAACATCTGTACCATGGTCATTTTCCCACTATAAATCCTGCCTTCTCGTCAAATTTGGACCACCACATCAATCAGTGAAATGGAGGATGAATTGGGAAAATAAAAGAAACTGAACGGGTCAAGCATTTTATGTTTTCAGTAATGTTCTCGAAAGTTTCAACACTAACATCTACATGCAATTAAGAAACACCCATTTTGTTTTAATGATTTAAAGAAAGACAAATGGATTATAGGAAGGAAATCACGCCAGCGGTAACCAGTTCTAAGGTCTTTGCTCTGAACTCACCCTACCTTAAAAAATGAAGTTTTGCCAAGACAACATGCAAACTAGCACTGTTGTCTCATACATCTGCACTAATAGTAAGATGGTCATTAGTGTACAAGGTATTTCTGAAGCAATTCTTAATTCAAAATTGACTGGAAATTTAGTAAGGTAAGAAACCAATTTTGTGAGCCATTGTTGAGAGATCCTGCTGCTCCTATTTATTTGTCTGACAGAAGGACGTACATAAAACAAACAGGGAGGTGAAGAGATCACTGTACCTCTATTTATCTACACAGCCATGTTACAAATATGGAATATGAGAGTGGACGTTGTAGCTGTAAGCCCGAATAGAACAAACATAAGAATGTTGAGAAATTGGAACAGGCAAATCAGCTCCTCCAGCTGGCTCCACCATTGGATATGATCGTGGCTGACCTTATCACAGCCTCAAGTCCATTTTCCTGTCTGCGCTCCATAACTCTTCGCCCCATTGCTAATTAAAAGTCTACCCCCTCCTTAAATGTATTCAATGAAGCAGTATCCACCACATTCTGGGGGAGTGAATTCCACTGGTTCATGACCCTTTGAGAAAAGCAAATTTCACATCTGTCTTGATAGAGAAGTTCTGTAAGTCATTCTTACTGGGTTCTGAAAAACCTTTCCTGGAATACTAGCTCCAGTCAGGATGGGGTAAACGTAAGTCTAAAACTCTGGAATCACAGGTGGCTACTTAAACTGGATTTTAAAAAAGCGTGCTTCGGAGATATTTTATAAAATCTGGCGGGGTGGGGAATAACTTTAGAACTTTGTAGTTTGCCATTCTTATGTTGCTGAAAAACTCTTTTCAATGGCAGATCCAATGTAGCAATGCACTGCTAAATCAAAGCAGTTTCAAGGGCGAGGACCTACCTTCAAAAGGGCAAGTTTCACTGATGGCCATAGAATGATACAATAGCAACAAAACTGAAAACAGTTTTGGCCTTTCTTATCCTTGTCAAGAATGGAATGTCTGACTTAAGGTACAAGACCAACTTTGTACATCAGTGCATAAGTTTCTGTTTGTCATTTTGTTGCAGGTTCCAAAACATAACTCACGGGCCATTCACTGTACAATCTGAATGCCCCTTCAGTATTAGTAGTAGGAGTTATTAATCAATTTTAAGTTGTTTGGAAACAATTTGCCAATGGTTTTCTTTAAAAGCCAAGGCAGAGTGCCAATGGATGCATACAGGGTGGAACATACAAGATTATGTTCTGCTGTTGGTATATCCCCTCAAGCAACAACAAAAAATAAACACATTGCTGGATTTGAGGGACTGAAGGAACAAATCTGCAAAACTGGTGAAGGTTTCAACAGGATTCTTCATCAACACAAGATGGGAGTAAGTAGAATTGCTTTTCCCCTCTTGGATAACAACCCTTCAAGGTTTTGATTGAATTCTTGAGTCTCGAGCATCAACACAAAGAACTCCTTTGACCATTAGGTTGCAGGGATTTTGCTGGGTTTTTCAAACCATAATATAACTGCACTTTTTGCTTTATAGATGTTGCCATGTTGGTATGACTGTGCAGTTATTTTTGTAAGCTTGTACTATCTCAGTTGTTTCAATGAATTCACGAGCATGGCTTTGAAGGCAGGTTTGGGTAAGGGTTTCAGAGTAAGCCCTCATCAATCTGAGATGTGAAGCTTAAAGAAGAGGACTTATTTCTCAGCATGGAGATTCTATAGCAGCTGGTACTGGGTCAGCTTTTGTAGAGATAAACACTTCCCTTGAGAAGATACCAATAGGGACCCATTTTTCAAAATTTCAAGCTGGGGAAGTTTAACATGGTAAATATTTTATGAATTAGGAATAATTCATGCTCAATTTCCAATCTCCCAACGGGTCCTGGCTGTTACATGGATTTTGAATAATCATTCTACTTCAAGGATCTTCTTCTTGGTCAATTTGGACACTGAACAAGCTATCCATAAAGAAAGCAGGATACATCTACCACTCAAAGGGGTGGCAAAATATTTGTATATGGTCCTTAATAAACACTTGAGGCCTCAAGAAATGTTACCAGTGACATGACTGTGAAGGTTCAAATCTACTCCAGCTAACCGCCTTTAGGAAACCTATCACACGGTGCTTAGAGTCTCAAGTCATGGCTTGCCCTTTTGTTTTGTTGAATTGGAGGTCTTCTTTCAGCTGTAGTACATTGCCAAGCTTCTTCTGATCAATCCATAGGTTACTTACCTCAATGGCTCCTTTCAAAATTTAGCCTGAAGAGCTTCCTCCACAAAAAATTGAATTCATAACTCCAGCTTTCCATATTCTAAGGTGGGGGTAGGTAACCACAGTAGAATTGAACAATTCAGGCTTAGTGCCAAAATGCTTTTCAATCTTCCTTCACCATAGCTCTGAAGCTGGGCAACACATGCACCCTTGGTGAAATACCGAGATGTATTGTCCAAGTGAAGTGAGCAAACTTTCTCAAGTAGTGCATTCCTCCAATATGGATGGAATTGTTAACATATATTCTCAGAATATAGATAATAGATCTTTTATAAGATCATATAGGTAGGAAACCGGCAATGTGTGAGGTATTACACCTCTATACACTGACTTGTATTTACAAGTTTGATAGGAACAGCGAACAGGTGATCAATGTAACTGGATCAAATCAGTTTCTTGGAACAGCCCAAAATCTTCCCTATGAGCCAAGGAAGTACTGATGTTTTGAGAGTGTTCCAAATGACAGCCTCCTAGATATGAAGGATTCCTACTACACTCGGAATGAGGGGCTAGCTCAGAAACAGAGAGAGAGAAGTGGCCGTACCAAGGATATAAATAAAAGTTATGGACGTGAAAAACTTCTAAAGAACACATTCAACCTTTGTACCAAAGGGTACTGCAAACCAGACGGTCACAGCTTTCCCATTGATCCTAAAGCCAAGGTTGGTAAAACTGAACGCCTAAACAGGCAGTTACGTGAAACATTTATGAAACAGTTTTCTGCAACAGAAGAATGGCCAGCAGTAAGCCCAGGTGCTGCTGCCTGCTTCTTGTTCACATTTGCAGGAATTGATCAGAGAATTTTGATCCAAAATTGCAAAGCAAAATTTCAGTGTGGGGAAAAAATAAAAGTTTTGCATTCAGCTGCCAAATAACGGGAGAGTGGGCAGAAGGAGGTGAAAGAAGCAGGCAACTTTCACAAACATCTATCAACAAGGCAACAGGTACCTTCAGAATACTTTTGTAGGGATTTGCAGGAGGTGGTGGAGAAGCAGAGGTGTGCCTAAGCACTAGGTTATTCAAGAATACCAGTACATGAACCCCATTCCTTCGTCAGCAGAAACTGACAACGTCACATTTCAGAGAAAATAATAATGAGCATTTTTTAAATTGGCCAGTCAAATTCTGTACACTAAACCAAAAGGCTTTGAAAGGAAATGGCAATGCCAACAATCCTCAATTTTAGTTCTGCATTGGCTCCTTGGGAAAGACATTCCTCAGATTCAAGTATTCTCAAATTTCTTCTTTATTTCTGTAAGAAAGCCAACCATAGAAGGCAATTGGGTAAAGCTTTCTTTGGTACAATTGTTTCAGCAGCCAATGTTCACAGTGCTGTGTTATGCAGCAGTTGATGAAGCAGCCCAAATGTGAGAAACATCTGTAGCAGCATGAAATTCCAGTAAAACACTTCCATGGGCAACAATTAATGGATGTAGACCCAAGAGGTATCACCCCTAGAGATGTCACCCCTAGAGATGTGCACTAGTTACACACACTATCAACCTGGTAATGCCCACACCCACTCCAGTCATTTAGGCCTGTTTTCAGTAGGTTAACATAGATGACTCCAGGCCTCTTATAAAGCAGGAAGCCCTTGGGAGTCTCACTGCATAAAGTGATTACAGCATACTGCATTCTCCAGGGAACAGGCTAAAATATAGGTTCAGCTAATCACTGGCCTTGCCCACCGGAGGCAGGGCGCTAGTTCTCATTCGAGGACTGCCAGTGATTCCTACAAACAAGAAATGTCACAGTGACATGACTGTGATGGTTCAAATCCACGGCCACAGCTCCAGCAAACCGCTTCGAGAAATCTATCTTAGAGTGCTTGGACTCTCGAGTCATGGCATACCCTATTTTTTTTTGAAACTGAAGTTTTCTTTCAGCTATAGCACATTGTCATTCAACTGCCAGATGGAAGAAGCTTGACAATGTCGGTTAAACACAGTTTGCATAGCTTAATCGTGGGTGACCAGTACTGCACGTTGTTTGACAGCATATGCACAACTGGGGGCATTAAAACATTATGCTTTACCCTCCTCAACACAGGCAGTACGCTGTACAGTCACTTGGAGGGGCAGCTGCAGAGATTCTAGTCAATAAATCACCAACTTGCACAGTGAGGGCTGATGTGTCCGAATTCAAGACAAGGCTGCAAGTCAGTGTCACAACACTTGGACTGGGAACATAGTATGCCATTTTAAGATGTGCCAGGTTGCCTTACATGTCAGTTTTAATAATGTATCTGTACATTAGGTAGGGAAGAAAAAAAATCTACAACATTGAGCCAAATGCACACAACAGCAAATTTATACAGATCTTCAGAAAACAGATTTCGCCAGCCCCTTCCCAATTGAGTAATGTTCAAGGTTCACGGTTTGTGGCAAAATGCTGAATCCTTATTCATCTCCAAAAAAAAAATTAGACTTTTTTTTATTAAAGTAATTACAGGTCATTTCCAAAAGCATTTCAGTTGTCTCTCTAAAAGCAGGCAAAACTTTCACTCAGTTTGACTGTTTCTAACACAGATAGTGAAGACATCTTAATCTAAATGCATTAACTAGACGACATATTTACAGAAGTATGGTTCCATCTGAAAACTACTGGATCTATAAAGTTATACCCTTCCCCTGCAGCGAAATTACATTCACATGTAAAAACAGCATTATTGAGGAGAGGTGTGACAGATCAGTACAGATGTACAACTTAATTCCAGTAGCTTAACTTTAAAGGAATCTTCACAGCTTAAACTTGACACTGCATCCAAATTTTATGTCTATCATGTAGAATTAATAAAAATTGCTAAATGCTTACAAACTCTTCAGAAAAATAAATGGAGAACTTGATCTTCACTTTTTAATTCAGGAAACAAAAAAAAGTTTTTTTTTTCTTCGTTCTTGCTACATACAACATTGTACATTTCATCTGAGAGTAAAGAGAGTGTGTATGTGTGTGTATTGGGTATTGACTTTTTTTTCCCCAAAAAACTCAGTTACTAACACAGTCATTCGAGTGTTCATTATCAGCATGAACTAGACTGTATGGAACTAAGTCCAGTTACACTGAATCCAGCTCGATTCATTTTAATTCTTCAAACATCACCTTCAACAAAACAAAGACATGTTCTGAAACAGACTGGACATAAAAGTGTTTTACAAAGCTGTTCCAGTCACTGCTTGATGTTGGTTCTCTACACCATTCCCCCACCTCCCCACCCACCCTCTAGACCCCCACTTCCCCCATGTGTCTTTATAAATCATATAAAGAGGAACAAGTGTTATTCAGCCAGGTGCTTCACCAGACCAAGCTTGTTAAGTTCGACAAAACAGTGACTGGTACAGAACAAGTCATAGAAAAAGGCAATTAGCACACTAGGCAAATTTAGCAGCTGATCAGTGGGATAGGAATATTCAAAATACTTTTGAACAAGCTGTGGACGATTAGGTTTTACACAGCCTCCTACCACATCGCCGGCTGATCGGCCTGTTATAAACAGCTTGTAAAATGACAGAGGAAGGTTTATTCCAAAGATTCACCATTTTGTTTTGTAGATAAAGAAATGAATTTGTTTCTTTAACTGCACTGCCATTAGAAACACTACATATCTTAACAGCTTTAAACTGTGCCTGTTGCACAGTCCACAGGTTCCAGTCCTGCCCACTAAGTTTTTTTTTTAAAATCTTCTCACTTCCGATTGTTTGGAGTCTCAGGAAGTTCTCAGCCAGGTTATTAGATGGAGCATCTTCCACCATTCTCACATCTGGAATGGCCAACCAGGGACAGTGTGCTTCACATTCCAACACCAGCTTTGGCTGCCCTCTCCTTGGCACCTTATCAGCAGCGCTGGCATTGCCAAGGGGAAGACGCTCCATCCTTGTGGCTGATGGAGCTGCTCTGGAGAAAAAGATAGGTTAGTGGGAGAAACAGGGGAAGGTTCGACATTGCTTTCGAAACAAGGGGGAGGTAAAAGGAGAAACATCCTCCCTCAAAGCACTGCACAATCCACACATGGGCTGATCTCAACCTTCAGCCAAGGAGCTGAATCGATACGCACTCGTCATTTACAGAGAGGAAAAAACCAAGCCATTGGCACAGGGTCCTCCCCCATGAGCAGGAAATAGATTGTACAATTAACACTCACACTGCCTAGCCACATTTGCCTCCTGAAGGTATCTGATGCAGGAAACACACAACCCTCTACAAAGTGGTGCTCATCGTGCTGACTCGGAAACAATGAGGTGTCAGCTTTGATTAGTCGAGCCCTGAAATTTGACTACGGGAGGCAGGGGCAGGGGATCGCTTGCAAACGCTTTCAATGACGACAGAAACATCTGCCGTTGCATTTAACCACATTTTTTCCTCCACAACTGGTACAAGTAGTAAAACTGTAACTTTTAAAAAAAAAAACAAAAACACAAAATAGCAAAGGGTTTGGACAGAAGCTACAGCATCTTAAGACTGTACTCATGACGATCTTTGCAGCAATATAAAAGTTTTACTTTGTGTAAAAGTAAATGGGTCTCTAGCTCCAAGTAGGATTTCTATGCATCACGGAAGTTTCCAAGCTCGTCTGACGAAAACTTGCTGTGCAGTAGTTTGTAATGACGCTGTAGTGAAACATTTAACCTTACATACACCTCTGACCTAGCACAGCAGGTCAGCTTTGGGGGTGGGGAGGGGTGGGGGACAGAGTGGGAGAACGGGAAGTGAGCCAGGAGGGCAAACAGACAAGGACACAAAAGACAAGTCAATGGCCAAGATAAAGCGCCACGCCAAACCCTTGCCACTACAACCACAAGAGCTGCTCGGCAAGCAAGGGTCAGAGATGAGCTTTCACGTAGTCTCCAACACAGAAACATTCCTGTCTGTCTCAGTACCGAGGAGGCATGTAGGGTCGCTTTGGAGCCGTCGAAAAAGGGGGGCTTCCGAACGGCAGGCTGGGTCGCTTTCCGCTTTGAAAAGATTCTCGAGGCCTGAAGGACCCTCTGAAGTCTCTCTGGAAGAATCTACCAGGATTACTGTAGTCTCGTTGGGGTGTGAAGGGTTGACTATAGTAATCCCTCGGAGACCTCTGCACTGGAGGCCTATTAGTTAAGCCAAGGAAGTCACTTGGAGGGCACGGGAGTAGGCCTAGGAGCTCTCTTGGGGGCCCAGCTAATGGGCCAAGGAGGTCTCTAGGAGATCCAGGTAATGGACCAAGGACATCCTGAGGGGGGGGAACTGGAGGTGGCACGAGCGGATCCCTTGGAGGGGGGCCAGGAGGTGGGACCAAGTGATCTTGTGGAAGTGTGCCTGGGGGTGGTCCCAGAACGTCCCGTGGAGGGGGGCCAGGTGGAGGACCTGGAGGGGGAATTGGAGGGGGTCCAGGAGGTGGGACCAGGTGATCCCGCGGAGGGGGTCCAGGCGGTGGCACGGGGGGACCAGGTGGGGGTCCGAGGTGGTCCAGGGGTGGCGGGCCAAGATGATCACGTGGAGGGGGGCCGGGCGGCCAACCGGGACCCAAGTGGTCAGGGGGAGGGCCAGTGGGGGGCCCAATGTGGTCAACAGAAGTCCCAGGGGCCTGCCCAGCATGATCCCGCGGTGGTCCGATTTTCTCATGGGTAGAACCAGGTGGTGGACCACTGTGATCCTGAGGGGTACCGGAGAACGAAGCATGCTCTCGGAGGGAACCTGATGATACAGTGCCATGCTCCTGTGGGGGGCCAGGAGGCCCGAGATGGTCATGGGAGACAGGAGGCGGACCTGGGGGTAGACTCAGGTGATCTCGCGGGGGCACAGGAGGCAGTCCAATATCTCGCAAGGGCCCGGGAGGAGGGGGAGGGCCAATGTGATCTTGTGGGGGGCACGGGGCCAGTATATGATCTGGCGGCGGACCAGGGGGGTGCCCAACGTGGTCACGGCTCGGAACAGGGGGCGGTCCAATACGATCATGCAGTGACCCGGGCGTGAGTCCGATTTGCTGGGTTTGCCTCTCAAAGGGGCCACTAAAGCTGCTGGACCTAAAGCTGTTTGAAGTGTCAGGGAACTGGAGTCTGTGCTCTTCGAACTGACTTCTAAAACTGGGAGGAATACCTTGAGTCATCTCAGAGACGTCAAGAGAGGACGATTCGTCTTCAAAGTCTGAAATGTTTTCACTCTGCTCAAACCAACTGCTCCTGGTGCCCCCTCTCCCATGACTCATATTGCCTCTGCCTGACCCTCGGCTAGAGTCCAGAGTCTGAATAGGCTCTCCAAACATCAGCCTCCCTGCTGATGGGGTACTGGAACCTAGTGTTTCAATGGGGGCTCCTCTCTCCTCTATGCTTTTGGATAATTCAGATGTGGATATGTGAGTCTCTATACAATGCTGCTCTTCGTCCCCAGTCTCCGCAATCCCAGACTGTCCAAAGACTGACAGGCTCCCTTTCTCGTTCACGCCTCCTGGCGGAGCTGGACTAATGGGGCTCTCTAAAGGCTTCTCATCAGTAGGCCTGCGGGAGGCATTTTTGAGCATGTTTTTAAACTCTATGGTGGAAGTGGCAGAGACCGGGGAGCCTAGTGACACAGCTTTCTCAATGTTGGTGACTGGCGTGCGGCTATAAGGACCGGTACTTTGCGTGGAAGACGACTGGCGGGATGGGGCAGAACAGAGCGAGTCGGAGAACGCTTTTGGAAGTGATCCTGTGCGAGACATATCTGAGAAGGAGGGCTGCAATATAATGTTGTTAGACTCAGAGAGGAAGAATGGATTGTTTTGACCAGGTGAAGACAGGTTCTCATTCTCAACCCCCTGATCGTCATCCCCATACCCACCCCTGCTATTTGACCTGCTGCCATAAGCTTCCTGCTTCTTAAGAATGGATTTCATAGGCTTGGAGAGCACAGACTTCAAACGACTGTAACTGGTGGAAACGGACTGGTATTCATTGGGACTCTGATCTGCTGGTTTATTTGACTTGAGAATGGATTTTGGGGGCTGATTCACCAAGCTGGAAACTGAAGGTGGTGGCCCGGCATAGTCAAAATCAGTGCAGGATTCACCCGAGTAAAACTGTTCAGGAGGGGAATCCCTGTGGGGAGAAGACTGCTCCCACATTTCAGAGGGTTTGAAAGAGGAAGGGAATGGACTCCTTCCACGGCTGTACGAAGAACTGCTTTGGTAAGAAGGCACTGTGTTGGAAATCTCCGAGTAACCAGAATCTCTGTTTTGTGGGAGGGAAAGCGGGGGGGAGATTGTGCTGCTGGTTGAAGAGGAGGGCGGGCTGATTAACTTAGACAGCAAGGACATTGGATCAATCGTGCCTGGGGTTGTTGGCTTGTCCATTATTTCATCTTGGGTCGGAGTCCCGCCTCGCTCGTCTCGAACGGGTGTACCGTCCTGGTTATCCAGCATGGCGCCACCAGGGTTACGACTAGCGTCTGAAGGCGGCAGCAGGCTCTTCGAATCACCAGAACCCAGGTTGCTCAGCAGAGGGATATTAAGGTCCAAAGCCTTAAAGCCCGGGTTGACCTTCAAGAAATTGTGAATTTTCATCTCCAGACTCGACGGCGAGGACGGCTCTGCCTCGGTTTCAGCTGCCACCACCTCCGCTGATGACTTCTGGCTGCTCAAGCCTCCCCTTGATCCGGAGGTGGTGCCACGCAGGGAGCTCTCGAGCACTGTAGTGTTGGCAGGGGCCTTCAGACTGGCACTGGACAGAGCAGGGCTGTGGTTTACTGGGGCTGAGTTCACCGAAGAGCCAGAGGAAACTTCAGATGCAGGCGAATTTGGAGAGCAGCCAATAAGCCCTTGAATCAAAGGCTGAGCACCGGCATTAATAATGGGAACACCTTTGTCTATTGGACTGGTGACATTGGTCACTGCCGGAGTAGAAATGTTTGAACTTGCACTACTGGATGGGACAGAAGTGCTTCCTGTCACACTCTGAAGCAATGACGAGAGACCTAGTATCAGGACAAGAGGGGAGAGAATAAAAAAGATATTTCAGTACATTTTTTGTAGAACCATACACTAATTTTAAACTTTTCACCTGACACAAGTGGACAATCGGTTCAAGTTCTGTTCACAAAATATACACTTAGCCCTTTGTTAATTTCAGTTCTCATCTTAACATTTGCTTACACTATACCTTTACTTCAGTAAAAGCACTCTGCAGTTCTCCGTAAGAAATGGGAGGCCTAGATTTAAGCGAGAATTTGAGGAGGCATTTAAACTTTGAGGTGGTCGTGAAGGTGGGAAGGAGATGTCAGAAGGTTTTGGAAACTTTTGACAGCTGTGCAGTGGGGAGGAGTAATAAAAGTGGAAGGCACAGTGGAGTCAAAAGAACGAAGAGTGCATTAATGCACCGTCTTTTATCAAAGCAAAATATCCAAGGGGCTTCTCAGGAGAAGATTTAGCCAAAAAACAAATCAAACAAAACCAACAAGTCAACGGGCATCTGAAGGACTTGAAATGTTAACTCTGTTTCTCACAGATGCTGCTAGACCTGTTGGGTTTCTCCAGCAATTTCTGTTTTTGTTTGTTGCATTTAATGTTTTAACGAAGATCTATAGCTTGGGTTGTAGTTGAGAGTCGTTTGTTGCAGATCTCCAGCATCCGCAATTCTTGGTTTTATTTAAGTCAAAGAGGATTGTAAATCTTGGTGAAAAGAGGTAGGCTTTAAGGAGTGTCTTAGATCAGGAGAGGGAGATGATGCAGGCAGAGGAATTTTAGGAGGAAACTCCACCGCTTACGGCCAGGCTAGCTGATGGTTGGATGAGGGGAGTCCAGAATGTACAGGAGGAGTGTACAGCTCTTGGAAAGGTTGCAGACGTAGCTAAGATAGGGAATGGCAAAGTCATGCAGTAATTTCAATACAAGGTTGAGAATGTGAAATTGGAGGCACTGCTGGCCTGGAAGTCGATCTACATCAATGAGGTTGACAGACGAACACAACTTGGTGAGAGTCACGGAAGAGCTCAAGCTCACGGAAGGTGGGGAGAGCATCGGAATTGTCAAAAGTCTGCAAGGTAACAGAAAACATGACACAGGGCATTTTAGATATGAGTGGGAGCAAAGCCCTCATGGGGTTCGAAGGCGAGTGCAGGTGAGCAGATGTGCTGCAGGCTCCGACAAGCAACTCTAAGTGCTGAAGGAGCTCACTCGCACCCGATATCCTGGTTACTGTTAGGGTTTAAGAAAGATTCTTAAGCAGCATCTCATGGATGTCTGACAACAGGCAGCACAACTGGCTGAAGAACAGGTAAAGCAGGTCCAAACAGCGTGGACCTACACTCAAACACGCTAACCTTGACACATTGGGGAAGAAAACCAAGCTGAAACTCACATTTCTACAGAAGAGTTTTAAGTTCACAATGTGGAAAACTCAATTCTGCAATTTTCCTTTTACTAAATCGAGAAGTGTCAAGGCCCATAGTGCAGGGGATGACTGAGTTTCCAAAGAATTAGAGGGCAGCAAAATAAAGTGAAGTGAGATAACAACAAGGTGACAATGAAGAGGAGAATAAAAACCTGTGAACTGTCATTAAGCAGACAGAGGCCCTGGAAATGGAGGAATTAGAAGTAGGTAAAGATGCAATAAGCAATTGAGTTGGAATTTTGAGCTTTGGAAAAATAATCTACAGGTGGCCAGGGTTGGCCTGGGTTCCAAGTGATTGACCTGAAAGACCAGGGTGCCGAGTACAGACCGTCAGGTGCAGGAGGAGAATCAGGGTCTGCTCAGGCAGATTTTGTACGGTTCCCTAGTTTACCTTGCAGAGCTGGAGCAGAGGGCCCCTGTGTCTTGCTGAGTGCTGACAGGATGCTCTCTGGAGTTAATTCAACTTTTGACAGGATGCTCGCCAGAGGATTGGGAGTGACTTGAGAAGGCTTCTGAGTGGGGGCCTTGAGGCCACTATTCAGTTGCGCCCCAGCAGGAGCCGCTGACGTTACCGCAAGCACAGGCGCTTGACCAACTGCTGGGCTGACTGGAGACAGAGGGGAGAGAAAAGTGAAATCTGACAAGGTCACCAATAGCCAAGCTCAGCAATTTGACGCAGAAGCAAAGAAATTAAAACACAAACATTGCTTCACTGCAATTTGAGTGCTTTGAAAGACCAAAACGGTTGAAAATAAAATCATCCAATTTGCGTCATCTCAAATAAAATATATAGGATAACGAACACTGACAGTACAGGCGGCCAGGCGGTTCATCATGTCTGTGCCAGTCAACAAAGGCCTGACAAATTAATCCCATTTTCCAGCTCTAGGCCCACAGCCCTGGAGGTTATGCCAACACAAGTAAATATCTAAATATTGCTCAAATGTTACGAGAATTTCTGAGTCAACTACCCTTTCAGGTAGCTAGTTCCAGATAGCCACCACACTGGGTGAAAAAGAGTCATGTCTCATCCTAATTTTCTAGCTCTTAGCTCAAATCCATGCGTCCTGGGTAACATCCTTTCTACTAATGGCAAAAGGGCCTTTGTGTCCACTCTGTACGTCCCTCATCATCTTGTACACCTCTATCTGTTTTCCTCTCCACCTTTGCTGCTCCGAGGAATACAATCCCAGCCTTTGCAATTCTTCCTCATAGCTTAGACCCCCCCAGCCCAGCTGGCATTCCGGTGAATCGCCTCTGCACTCCCTCCAGTACAGTCACATCCTGTCAAAACTGCACACAATATTCCAGGTGTGGCCTAAACAACACTTGACACAGCTCCAAAGCTAAGTCATGTCTGTGATCTAAACCCTCAGGATGCCTTACATATAACTGTACAGGATGCATAAGCAATGAGAATCATACTCTAAGACCAACAAGCTAGCTGCTAAAATACTATTAGGGATGGAGTTCCAGGACTGTGACTTGGGAACAGCGATATACTTCCAGGGGACAGGATGGTGTATGTGTAAATGCATACACAGAACAGCAGCCCTAGCCTGTAAACATTGTGGCGTTGGCCCTATGTTCAATGTGATGCATTCACATGCTGCTTATCCCAGGGAGCGACTTGCTGTAAGACACTGGCTACACCAATACATACAGAAAGTAAAGACATGGATGCCAATTTACATCTAACAAGAAAAAGAAGGGAGAGAAAACGCTCCAAAAAATAAATAAATAACATGCGAGCAGCAACATTCTGACGTGGCTCATCCCACGTTAAACATAGAGTAAAGCTCCCTCGACTTTGTCCCAGTGATATGACACAGATGCTACCTCAGAAGAGAGCGCCACAATATGACAGTTTCCAAAGTCAACCTTTCTGTGCACTCCCCCAGAGACTGAGGACCTGATCAGTCCTACATTAGGGTATCTGTTTCCCACAGGATGGCAAAACCTCACTTCGGGGATACTTTTCTTTTCATGTGCACAAATAACCAAATTAATTTCTCCTCCCCGACTCCAGAAACACAAATGCAAGAAGAAAGAGACAGAGACATTCTTGAAACATAAGAAACACAAATTTTGTTGATGCTTCCGTGTTGCACTCATCAGGACGTTTCACACAAGAATATCAATTCAGCTCCATGAAAACTTGCATTTATACTCCAACACAGGCCGCCGCCCATGGGCTGATTTCGCCCCTGAATTGGCATTCCTGCAAAATGTCCTGATGAGTACCAAGACAGAAAGCTTTGATCAAGGGTATCCTTTGCGGAGTACTACTTACATTCAGTTCTGGCAAAGACATGAACTCATTTAGCATCATTTCATAACTCTCAAAAAAAAAACCTCTCCAAACTGCTTCACATTCACATTCAAAAGGCATTGTCATTTTTCACAAAACATGCTCCCCCAAATAATAAAAACAGATCAACTGGCTGTGCATCTCCAGTGGCGTGAGCCAAGGTTGAATTATTCAGAGAGGGAGACACGATGGAATCTTCAACAGTGATGACGAATCACCAGAAAAGGCTGGTGATTCCCAAGCAGGGGGACATTTCAAAATCTCACCTGAAGCACGTTTTGGCAATAGCAGTATTTGCTCACGACTGCACTGGAGAACTATCTTGGAGCATGTGCTCAAAGTCCTAGAACTGGGCAAAGGCGCTGAGTCAAGTGTCAGACACCAGCAACCTTCCGCTCAGTTAAATTATTCACGCCTATTTGCACAAGAAAATGCTAGAAGAACGCAACAAACCCTGGAAAATAAAACTTGTGAAGTGATTTATACATGAACCAGCCACTGGCAAGCCCCTGCATTCCTCACCTGTGTTCTTCATGACGGTGGTCAGGCTACTAAGGATGGAGCTGATTTTGCCCAAGTCTATATTTGCCAGATTTGGCAGGGCCAGCGGTGGTGTTACAGTGTTGCTCTTTGCCTGCGGGGTCTCCACCGGGGTCGACGCCTTTTCTGGTTGGGGGCTCGCGCTCACTGCCACTGCCGTGCCTGGACTGGATTCCTCCTTTCTCTCCTCACTCTCTACTGCTAAAGAACAACAAGTAGAGAGAGAGAGAGAGAGGGAGGGGGGGGAGCGAGAGGGAGTGGGGGAGCGAGCGACAGAGTGGGGTGGGGAGCAAGACCGCAGGGGAGCGAGAGAGGAAGGAAGGAGAAACAAGTTAGAATCATGTTTTCCCCAAATAGTGCACTTATCTACAAATTTCCTCCCATCCCATTCAATTTCACATTCCTCAAGCACCCAGAATGCTAAAATTAAAATGTCATGCGAGAGCACAAATGGATCCAATTCCATCCCAGCCAGTCAGGAACTATCCAATTTCTAAGAGAAATGAAATGAAGAGTATGAACTCTTTCAAAGATCCCCATATAGGTCTCAGCGGGCACGGAAGCTAAAGCTAACGCCCTAACTGATCCATCAGCTGAGATAATGTAACGGCCTACACACTCAGCTATATTCTCGATAACCAGGAAAGCTCCAGCTTGACTTCTGACAGTTACGTGTCGAGCAACAGTTTGTCTGAAAGTGAAGTGATTGGGTTCCCTGATGATTAGGTGGCAAACACACCACATGGTGCTGGGATGATACCAGATTGAATTCTTGCTCTGTACCACAATGTGGAGGTGCTGGTGTTGGACTGGAGTGGGCAAGGTCAAAAATCACACAACACCAGGTTATAGCCCAATAGGTTTGTCTGAAGACACAAGCTTGAAGGAGGAGTGAGACTCCAAAAGCTTGTGTCTTCAAATAAACCTGTTGGACTATAACCTGGTGTCATGTGATTTCTGACCTTTTACCACATTAACAGACTTAGCTCAGAGTAGTGCTAAGCACACTACAAAGAACTTCTGTATCCCATCACTATTCCAGAATCCCCATTTCAGTGAAACGGCTCTTCCTGGGATACAAGGCTAACCAGAGATGATAAAGTCAGGCCTGAGGCATCTCCCACTGTGGGGACAGTAGATGTCTGTGCCAAAGGAGACCGATTCGGGTCAAGGTATTGGACGGTTGCCTGACCTAGGGAACAGAAACCCAGATCTAAAGGAGAGAAACAAAAGCAGAAATTGCGAGAAAACTCAGGAGGTCTGGCAGCATCTGTGGAGAAAAATCAGACTCAATGTTTCAGGTCGAGTGAGCCTTCCTCAGAAGCATTCCAATGAAGGGTCACTCGACCCAAAACATTAACTCTGATTTCTCTCCAGAGATGCTGCCAGACCTGCTGAGCTTTTCCAGCAATTTCTGTTTTTGTTTATGATTTACAGCATCCATAGCTTTTTCAACTCCTAAAGGAGAGAAGAAGGCTACCAGTCAGTGCAGAGAGCAAGGGGAACATTTTCTTCTCAAACTTCAAATCTTACGTTTAAACGTTAAGGACTTAAAAAAAACAATTTAAATGGAATAAAATAATCCTACAAAATTACAGGTGAACAGATCGCGAAAGGGAAGGCAGTGACCTAGTGACACTATTACTAGATAGCAACTTAGAAGCCTAGGTTAATGTTCTGGGAAGATGGGCTTGAAGCCGACCAGATGGTTAAACTTGAATTTGACAAAAACTTAAAGCTAGACCTTGGCGACCACGTAACCACTGACGATTTTTGTAAAAACATTAAATGTCCTTTAGTGAAGGAAATCTGCTGTCCTTACCTGGTCTGGTCTGGTCTACTCATGACTCCAGGACGACAGCAATGTGACTGAACTGTAACAGCCCTCTGGGCAATTAGGGATGGGAAATAAATGCTGGCCTAGCCAGTGATACCAATACCCCATGAACAAATTAGAAAAAAGCAGCGATGATGGTTAATAAAAGCAGTTGAAAATGCTGACAAAGCACAGATTTCTTTTGTGGGGTTATGGTACTTAATTCTGGTTCTTGTAAACTTGCACAGGACCCTGGTCAGGTTGCCCTCTGATAACTGTGCACAGTTCCAGTTCCCATGCTTTGAGAAGATTGCAGCAGCGCTGGATTAAGTCCAATAAAGATGATTTACAAGAATGGCACCCGAATTGAGATATTCCAGAACTTTTGGTTGGGGTGGGGGGTGCATAGTAGCTACTATACCTGCTCCGTAGTACCAGGTCCGGGTTCCATTCCACCCTCAGGTGACTGTCTGTGTAGAGTTTGCACATTCTCCCCGTGTCTGCCTCCAGGTTTCCCCCGGGTGCTCCGGTTTCCTACCGCAGTCCAAAGACGTGCGGGTCAGGGGGAATTGGCCATGCTAAATTGTCTGTAGTGACTTGGTACATTCAGGCTAGGTGGGTTAGCCATGGGAAACTGAGGGTTATGGAAATAGGGTGGGGGTGTAGGAGGCCTGGGTCTGGGTGGGATGCTTTTCGGACAGTCAATGCAGACTCGATGGGCTGAATGGCCTCTTTCCATACTGATTCTATTGCAGCTACTAGGAAACAGTAAACAGGTCGGGTGGTGATCTCTCTTCAGAAAAGAGAAAACTGCAAGTTAGCCTGATAGGCGTCTTTAAAATCCTGAATGGGTAGAGAATAGATGTGAGAGTGTCTTTCTACCTGTGGAAATATAAAACTAGGTACCCCATCCTTACTGATAGATCTGACCCGGGCGGAGGGCGAATAAAGAGAAAATCTCTGACTGAAAGAGTGGTTAGTATGCGGAGTTTACCATCGCAGGAGGTAAAAAGCTCAAATGCTTCCAAAAGGACACTACATCGGAATAAAAAAGAAACAGAAAAAGATGTGGTTAAGAGGCAGGAGATGGGATAGGAGGAGGGTCCTGCGGGGTACGAACACTAGGACTGTCTGGTTGGGGCCAAAAGCCCCCAAGTCACATATGGTGGTTCTGTAATCCCCTGCGTTAGGAAGCACAACTGGCTGCCCCTTTCCAAGCCTGGTACCTATGATGTTCGCTGCTCCCACAGCTTCGTCATCCGAGAGCTCCATGTCCTCCACGTCACAGTTATCGCCCGAGGCGTCTGGAGTCAGCGGCCCCGGGCTCTCCTCCAGCTTCTTCGGCTCCGCCACAGGCTCCTCAACCGGCCGCACGGGAGACTCCGAGCCGGTCGGCGACGGAGCGTCCATGCTGGGAGACGGAATGGGAGACTCATCTGGATCTGGCAGCGTGGTCTTCAGCTGGTCCAGCTTCTTCTTCAGGTTGTTAACTCTGTTTGCAAACGTCTTGTATGCCTGTGAGAAAGCAGTGGAAGGCAACAGTGAGTAAGGAAATCAAAAACTGCAGATACTCAGAATTACAATCAGTCCGTGCTAGTGGGGCACAAGGCGAGGACAAGGGGAACACTACCATCGTTGCGCAATACAGGGAGTGGGGAAGGCGTGGGAATTAGCATGTATGTGGCCATCCCTTGCCAGTTCCAACACCCCCAGCATCTTACTCCCAAGTTTCAGTTGGCCTGGCATTTCAACTCTCCCCTTACTCTCTTCCATTGACCTCCCTGTCTGTGGCCTCCTGTAGCATTCTGACAAAGTTCAACACTTCATTTGGTAAGGCACCTTACAGTCTTTTGTGCTTATGTCAGCTCTCCTACGTTCCACCCTAATCAGTGGCCCCATTTGTGTGCGCTCTTCACTCTCATTCACCTGCCTCTGACCTGGAATGTTAGCTCTGTCTCTCTCACGCTCAACTTTGACTTCAATAAAATATCTGGAATTAAGAATCTAATGATGACCATGAATCCATTGTTGATTGTCAGGAAAAACCCACCTGGTTCACTAGTGTCCTTTAGGGAAGGAAACTGCCATCCTTACCTGGTCTGGCCTACATGTAACCCTAACCCTAACCCACAGCAATGTGGTTGACTCTTAACTGCCCTGGCAATTAGGGATGGGCAATAAATGCTGCCTAGCCAGCAACGCCCTCATCCCATTAATGAATAAATAAAAGAACAGAGGCTGCCTGACCTGCTGAGTATTTCCAGTATCTTCCGTTTGTCTCAGATCTGCAGCATTTGGCTTTCGAATTAAAAGTACAAACCTCTGAAGTAAGGCAGAGCTAACGTTTGCACAGAAGATGCTAAAAGTTACAGAATAAACTACCGGGGCAAAAACGATGGAAAAGTCATGAAATAACCTAAGTGGGAAATTATATAGGTGTCAGGAGAAACGTTTGCAGGGAACCCTCTGGTAACACAGTTACAAATGCAGTCTGTATCCCCAGTCTGTAAGACACTTACATTTGCTACAATCTTCACCTCCTTGTACTGAGCTTCATAAAAGATCTCTGCATTTTCGAGTGCTTCGATTAGCGGTGGGGTCTTCTTCACCTCCCTCTCGAGCTCGGCGCAGAAGTCTTCCAACTTGGAGCTGGATTCTTCAAAGTCTTTGGAAAAGCGTTTGCCTCCGGCACGATCTACATAGATAGAAAGAATGAAGTCTTCCTGTGTCTGAACAAATTACCGGTGGTGGGGAGGTCTGGAGCAAGGAAACCCCAGCGAGACTTAACAAAAGCAGGTCTGGACAAACTATTATGAAGAGGAGATACAGAGTTATCAAGTCCGGATGGAAGGGGAGACTTAATGAATGAGCACTTTCTCTTGCCAAAGCTATGTCATAAAATCTCACTGATGGGTTCAAGACAATCCCAACAACACACAAGTGAGAATGAGAGCAAACAAATCCCAAGTATCTACGTATATTTTAAAAAGCTGTAGAAAGTAGCATTAAAATATCACAGATGCCCATATTTGCTGTCCCTAAACTATATACTGTTATGACTTTTGGTCATGTTTACGAAACTATCAATAGTCTTGCCTTTTTTTTAAAATTTGTTCAAAGGGCGTGGGCATCATTGGCCAGGCCAGCACATATTGCTCATCTGATTGACCCTGGGAAAGAAAACAATAGGTTTTGTTCTCGCAACTCTGCAGCTCATTTGTTGTTGGTAGACCCACCGTATCATTTGGGAGGAAATTCCAAGATTTTGATCCAGTGACACTGAAGGAACAGCTGAATAATTTCCAAAAAAAAAAAAACTGCAGATGCTGGAAAAACTGGCAGCATCTGCCGACAGAAGGCAGAGTTCTGTGACCGTTCTTCAGAATTTTCTGTTATTTCCAAGTCAGAATGGTGTGTGGCTTGGAGCGAAACTTGCAAGGGGTGGTGTTTCCAATGTACCTTGTCTTTCTAAGGAGTAGAGTTCGCATGGTTAGATACTGTTGGCAAAGCAGCCTTGCTGGGCTAGTGCCATTTAAAAAAAAAATTCAATTATGGGACATGGCACTATTAGCAGGCCTGTATTTATTGCCATTCTAACAGTGTCTTCACTACCACAATACTACACAGGCTGTGAATCGTTCTGTGGTCCTGAAGTAATATTAAACATAGCATCACTGCAATTCTTCAAAAGGAGTTGAGTGGCACTGTAATTGCAGATTGCAACCACTGGGTAGCACCATATCCCACTGCACTCAACACCATGAGAAATGCCAAAGGAGACAATGCATTGGACAGACTGGGAGGAGCATGCAGTAGGTTAGCATCACTTGTGAAGATTACTGGCAGAGCAGACCTGCGTGAAACTGGCAGAGCAGACCTGCGTGAAACTGGCAGAGCAGACCTGCGTGAAACTGGCAGGAGACCGGGAAAAAAAAGAGACAGAGAACCACCCCAACCAGTTTTCACTTGTCAGAGCTGAACTTCAACATCACAGGTAGGTGTCTGGTGGATATTTCTTCCATGTCTTTTTAGATTGCCCAAGTGGTTTAAGTCATGATATGTTATTACAGCTGAAGAGCTGTATTACTTTTAAATTACTTAATTACTTAATTACTTAAATTACTTTTAAAATTACTTTTAAAATATTTAACATATAAATTCATTAAATTGAATAGAGAAGGCTGGATCAGCAATGCGTTGCAGCTGCAGTATGTGGGCGCTTTATGCATGATCCATTGGGCTTTTTCAGGTTGGAATGATGAAATTTGTGGAATGACATAAGGCTCTGTCCTAGGGCCTCTACTATCAACTATACATTTATGATTTGAAAACCAGGACAGAGTCTAATGCCTATATTTGTTGACATTACAAAAGGAGGACACAAGCAATCTGCAAGGAAATATAGATTTGTTGCTCATGAACAAAGAACAATACAGCACAGGAACAGGTCCTGTGGCGCTCCAAGCCTGCAGCAACACATTTTGCCCTTTCATACTAAAGCTGTCTTCACTTACAGGATCTGTATCCCTCTATTCCCTTCCTATTCACATATTCGTCCAGGTACTTCTTGTATGCTGCTATTGTGTCTGCTTCCACCACTACCTCTGGCAACACATTCCAGGCACTTGCCACCCTTTGTGTGAAAAACTTGCCTTGTACATCTCTTTTAAACATCCCCCCCACCTTGCACATAGAACCTGTGCCCCCTAGTAATTGACCTCTCCATCCTGGGGGAAAAAGCCTCATATTTTCAACACTATCCATGACATTCATAATGTTATAAACTTCTATCAGGTCGCTCCTCAACCTCCTGCATTCCAGTGAAAATAAACCCAGTTAACTGAACCTTTCTTCTTGGCTAAAATACCCCATACCAGGCAACATCCTGGTAAACATTTTCTGTACCCTGTCCAAAGCATCCACAACCTTTTGGTAGCGTGCTTACCAGAACTGTACACAATGGCAGTGTGTCTTTTCCCTAGGATGGGGGATTTCAAGACTAGGGGGCATATTTTTAAGGTGAGAGGAGAAAATTTATAAATGACATGAGGGATAAAGGAATTTCTTCTCCCATAGTCTGTTCTGAATGGCTGGAATTCTCTTCTCAGAATGTTATAGAGGCTGTATCACTGAACGCATGCAGTCTAAGTAAGGAAAATGTGACATCATGCACTCTAGTAGCAATAATCAAAAGGCAGATTATTATTTATATACAGAGAGAGACTTCAAAGTACTGAAACATGGATGGATCTGGGTGTTCTTATGGATGAAACACAACATGTTAGCATGTGTATGCAGCAAGTAATTAAAAAGCAAATGGGATTTTGGCCTTTATTTCTCAGGGATTGGATTTTATAAATAGGGAAATCTTGATATTACAGTAGGGGTGTCGATGACACCGCACCTAGAGTACTAGGTACAGTTTTGGTCTCTGGATTTAAGAAAGGATATGCTGACATTGGAGCCTGTTCAAAAGAGGTCCACTAGGTTGATTCTTGAAGTGAAGGGGCTGACTTATAAAGAATGGCTAAACAGATTAGGCTTTATTCATTAGAGTTTAGAACTTCATGTTGAGGTTGTACAGAACATGGTTGAGGCCTCTTCTGGAGGACTGTATCCAGTTCTGGTCACCCTGTTATAGGAAGGATACTGTTAAGCTGGAGAGGGTTCAGAAAGGATTCGCCAGGAATGGAGGGTTTGAGTTATAAAGAGAGACTGGATAGGCTGGGACATTTTCTACTGGCGCACAGGAGGTTGAGGGTGCCCTTATAGAGTTTTATAAAATCATGAGGAGTACAGATAAGGTGAATGGCATGTGTCTTTACCCTAGGGTGGGGGATTTCAAGACTAGGGGGCATATTTTAAAGGTGAGAGGAGAAAATTTATAAAATACATGAGGGACAAAGAAATTTCTTCTCCCATAGGCTGTTGTGAACGGCTGGAATTCTCTATCCCAGAATGTATTGAAAGATGAGATAGATAAGGTTATTGAAATATCAGGGAGTTGAGGGCAATGAGGAGCTGGCACACAAGAGGAATTGTGCCCTGGGTAAAACCAGCCATGATTTCATTGAACGGCGAGGCAGGCTACGGGGACCGAGGTCCTACCCCTACTTATATAGTTATTCAAATCAAAAGAAGGGCGCACGTGTAAGCTGGTGATAAAAGTAAGGCTCAAAACCCCTCTCCAGTGTCCAACAAGTATGCATTACATTAATTTACTGCATGTCCATTTCTGCACTCTACCTTTCAACCGCTTCAATGTCTCTGTGCTGCAGACGTCAACGCGGAGGGTCCCAAGCTGCTTCTCCTTGAACTCTCTCTCATCCTCCGCCTGCTTGTAGGACCCCAGCTGGTCAATGAGTGCCTGCGGCTGTAGCAGGAAAAGAGAGAGGAGTGCAAGTCAGATTCTGTGAAGATGGTCGTTCCCAAAACAAGCCCCTCTAGTAATTAACACTAAATATTACAACACAACAGCGAAACAAACTACCAAAGAAAAACTGCAAAGGTAAATGCAAGCTGCTGACGAAAACAAGACACCAGGTTTATATTTTTTTTCCCCCTGTATGACAGCCATAGCTCAGTGGCAGCACTCATTTCTAAGCCAAAGTTGCAGGTTCAAATTTGACTGTATAATCCAGACTGCGCCACAACTGCTCTGCAGGGGATAATGACAATGATAAACCGCAGCCCTGCCTACCCTCCAACAGGGCAGGAACATGGTCGTAACACTGGCGGGGGTGTTCTCTCCACGGTGCGGGGGTAAATACCTCTCAAACACCCACCAATTTCAACACAGTGGTTAAAAAGGCATTTGGCATGCTTGGCTTCATTGCTCAGTCCTTGGAATTCAGGAGTTGGGACGTCATGTTGAGGTTGTACAGGACATTGGTGAAGCCTCTTCTGGAGTACTGTGTCCAGTTCTGGTCGCCCAGTTATAGGAAGGGTATTGTTAAGATGGAGAGGGTTCAGAAGAGATTTACCAGGATGTTGCTGGGTACGGAAGGCTAGAGTTATAAAGAAATGTTGGATAGGCTGGGACATTATTTACTGGAGCACAGGAGGTTGAGAGGCGACCTGATAGAAGTTTATAAAACAATGAGAAGTATAGATACAGTTAACAGTAGTTGTCTTTTCCCTAGGATAGGGGGATTTCAAGACTAAAGATCCACATTTTGAAGGTGAGAGGAGAGAGATTTGAAAACGACCTGAGGGGCAATTTTTTTTTTTAAAACACAGGGTCGTTCGCATGTGGAATGAACTTCCTGAGGAAGTGGTAGATGTGGGTACACAATTACAATATTTAGAAGACATTCGGATAATTTTGTGACGAGGAAAGGCTTGGAGAGACATGGGCCAGGAGCAGGCAAGTGAGACTAGGTTAGTTTGGGAATATGGTCAGCATGGATTGGTTGGACTGAAGGGTCCGTTTCTGTGCAACATGACTCTATCATGTCGCTTATCGTGGGAACAAGTTGTGTACAGAATGGCAAACAAATTCTTCACCAATAAGGCCAGTGCTGCCTTTTAAAAGATTGTATATACTTAAAGAAACAATACGCAGCGTAAAGTGGCAGCACAGTTCAGTGGCTGTATCTCCTACATTACAACGCATATACTGCAATGGCTGTAAAACGCTTCGGAACATTAGGAAAGGTGCTATAAAAGTTCAATTTGTTTCTTACCATTTTGGTTCCCAGTTTTGTTATTATCACTGGACAAGTAATCCAGACACCAGAGCTAAGGTTCCAGGGGCATGGGTTCATATCCCAGTATGGCAGCTGCTGGAATTTGCATTCAGTTGATAAATCTGGACTTGAAAGCTAGTTTCAGGGATAGTGACCATGTCAACCAGCATCAACTGGGGGAGAAATCCACCTAGGAAATGTTCTTTAGGGAAAGGAATCTTGCCTCCTTACCCAGCCTAGCCTACCTGTGGCTGCAGACTCTCAGCAATATGGTTGACTCTTAACTCTCTGAAACGATCCACCAAATCACTCAGATCAGGGATGAGCAGGAGGTTTTGCCAATGAACCTGGATTCCATGGAGGGATAATGACACTGATGGTGTAGAGGGATAAAACAGCCCTATAGTCAGTACTGCCAACAAGCTACAATAACTGTGGCACCTTTTTTTGATTCAGCGGCCAGTCCAATTGGTCCTGCGCAATGCAGGTCAAAAGGCTCTCCCTTAATCTATTTCCATTCAGCCAATGCAAGAAACGGAGTTCAATAACTTGTCTCATTGAGCTGTCAGACATGTCAGTCAGTTTTTGTTCTTGTTGGAACAATGCTCATGAGCACCATGGGATAAAGGCAGGATAAGCTTGTATTTGTAAACAGCCTGTGAACATTTGTCTGGGCTCACGTGTCAAGGTAAGTTAAGACTGAGAAGCTGTTGGCACCCATGAAGCTGCGTCAAGTTGTGGTCCTGGAGGAGAAGCGGGTTGAGGGGAGAGAGTGAGGAACACACTTGAGGCACTTGCCACCAACCCTGCAAGGCACAATTTCAAACAATTTATTTCTGTTATCAAGGATCTGGGAAGAAGCAGGGGAGTATTTAAAAAAGAAATCACCCTGGTTTGTGAGCATCACTAGCAAGACCAGCATTTATTGATCATTCCTAACTTGTTCTTGATCAGGTGTGGGCAAGTCACTCACAACTGAGTGGCCATTTCAGGGGGGAGTCATGCATAGCAGTGGGTGTGGAGTTATGTACAGGTCAGATCTCCTCCTAAAGTCTTCACAACGAAGTAGTAATTTCACCATCAGTATGAATACGCTTCAGTGATTGAGTGGAACTACAAGTATAAAGTCCACTGTTAGTTTCTACTTGTAACTGTTTTCTTGAAAACTAAAGGCTCTGTTGAACTCACATCAAGGGGAGAGGTGTCAGTGTCCAATGCTTAAACAGACAAGAAAATAAAACTAAAACTAAAAGAACAAATTCCCTTGCAAGACAATTAAAAACACCTGACCAAGTGAATAATTGTGCTATTCAGGGAGATACCCTGGTCTATCTAGTTCAGTGTAGTGCCATGTTCCAACTCTGTAAACTGGCGTGAGGCTGAGCGGTGGGAAGGACACTGAGTCCAGCTCTCCACCACTGGACAAAGGGACAGGATAAATAAACCAGGTCACTCCGACTGCTCCCCCGATGATTGCTCAGAAACCCCACCCCAAAACGGCCAGGTATATTGGGAGGGTTTCTGATCAGGGCACAATTAGGCTCAGCCGTAATGCCTCTCTACCTGGCACAGGCTGTCTGGGTTTGCGTATCTGGAACATGCAGCATCAGCGGCAAGCACCCTGCATGGAGCCTGTATACCAGCAGCTGGGAGACAAGGGGTAGAAAGGGGCAGGAGGGGGAAGAAAATGAAAAGCTGAAGCACTCACCCTAAATTCAGCAAGTATCTTGGATTTCACCACAACACGTGTCTTATCGCTCACTGAAAAGGAACAGAAAACGGAATCAGTGTGACCAGTGCACAACTCTGCAGGGCCACCACTATGATCTCAGCTAATCCAAAAGGTGGGCACGTCTAATACATTACAAGCCTTTATCGTTTAGTACGCAGGTCACACACAGTCCGTCACGTTGTGTCTGTAGTAAGAAACGCTGACAACCAAAAACACGAGAAAAAAGTCACAATGCAAACTTTTGATGGAAGTAACAGATAGTGGGTTTTGTCTCAGGGCTCCAAAGTGCCTGTAAATTATCTATGATAGCTACCTGAAGCTACATCTATAGCACAGCCTTGTCAATGACACACATTTCTTGCCATTAGCAAAGTGCCAAAAATAGCCACAGTTTCACAGAGGGATTCAGATTCAAGATTCCTGGTCTAAACCCAAGGAAACCAATAGCTGCACTGCAATTAGGTCCAAATTATTATGAAGGAGGAACAGTGTTAAACCAGCTTCCCCGCTCCAGTACCAAGCAAACTGACCCAAGAGGAAGAGGTTGGGTCTCTCTCCAAGTGCAAGCAACCCCCAGCCCTCCGCACCCGCAACACGCCCTCCAACCCCCATCCTACATTCCCCAAAGCCATATACAACACTATGTATTCAAGAATGGTACCCAGAGGCACCCAAAAGCCAGAGAGGCTCTGATCTTGGGGTTTGTCAATAATAAGCACTAAGTTTAGAACTGTCAATTCCATACCATCTCTGCTGATTTTTCCGAAATAAAACATGGTGGTAAACCTTTTCCTTCGCCGGCTAACCACGTCTTTCAGGCATTAGTGCAATGGATTCCCGGGAGTACGTCCACGTCTTTACAAAGCTTGAAAACCTACCCCACAGGGGCACGAATATCAGACCCAAATACTTGACTCCCTATCCACAGCCAAAGCATCGAATAGATTTAAACAGATCCTTCACTAACCCTACCACTGTCACTGTCACAAACAGAAGAACATGATCAGCAGTACACTTACTTTAACACACTTCTGTTCATCAGCAGTAAGACTGAGGATAGGATGAGCAGGATATCGTTTGATAGTCACAAAAGATTAAGTGAATAATTCTGAACACACCTTCCCCACTGCCCAAAATTTGTTCCATACCTGTTTTCACTTTTGCAAATTCAGCTGGCTTTCGTCCCACTAAAATGAATGGAAACAAGTGAAAAATAGTGAATTTCCGGATTGCTTTGTCTGAAGCCTTTGCAACAATCGCTCCAGACTGCACGGTGATATGGTTTATTTGCATTTGTTCATAAGGGAAGTGCCAACTATTAAAAGCATTTGGTGCAAAGCATCTGGCCTCATTAAACGGTTTTAACTGTTGAAGATTGGTAAAATTAGGAGCCCATTCTCCTGGCCACCCATATCCATTCACCTGTAAATGAAGCCCACTCCCCTGCTGATAGGCAAAAGCTGCTCATGGTGGTCTTCAACTGCTCCTCATTGTCCGGTGGGAAGTATGCTTTGTCTATGCTCAGCACTTTCCCTGAACAAGATCAATTGATTGTCACACTGGGAAATTCAGGGAGCTGAGATTGTCGATCAGTCTGTGGGTCATTGTGCACATCATTAGGCCAAAGTGGTGCTCGATGCAAACTGAGTCCAGGTGATTCTTTTCAGCTGAATGCCCTCTGCTGTCCTACAAATACACAGTGTTCAATATCTCCTTTGTCTCAAAATTTCAAAACCACAAAGCTTGTCAAAGACAACGGTGTCTTGACAAGGGATGGGTTGAAGAGACTGAGAGCAGGACCAACCAAGTATGTCCCACAGGTCTGATCCCTGCTCAGGGTTGACATAAGCATTGATAAGTGCAGATTAAAGCTGCCTTCAGGGTGTGTGTGCAACGAAGAGGGGAGAAAACGTGCCCCAATCAGGAAGCCGTACACGTGGACATGAGAATGGTCCAGGATAAGGTGTCCTCCATATTCCAGGCTCAGGCAAGAATGGCCCCTTGGGGATACTCAAGGGCTGTTAGGGGTCAGTGGTACCATTACCCAGCCAGAATCTGCACCTCGAGGATGAAACAAAAATAGTCGAAATTGCTCCAGAGTATTGGCTGCCCTTTATTGGTAGCAGGAGTTCAGGGAAAAATTATACATCTCCACTAAAAGGGTGATGAGATAAGCAGGTTCCAGGGTAATGGAGACATTTCGCAATTCACAGACCAGTATTTTGGGAAAGATATGCAACTTGCAGTAGCTTGGATTTTCCCCTAAATTAAAAGTCATGGGAACAGACTTCAGTAACCATCTGAAGTGGACAGGAGGAGGAGAGGAATTTCCAAAAGCCACAGTCAAAGCAGTGGAGAGCTTAGAGGAGGGAAGCAAGCTACAGACCATGATAAAGCTACAAAGGTAGGGTGAAGTTTACAAAGGGTTGAGGATGAGAGCCCAGCTGGACAGCAAGGGAGTAATGTTGAGTAAAAGAAGGCATTGGTGATATTTTCAGTCACAGATGGGCTGAGAGTGAGGTAGGAAATGTTTCAGAATAATGGCAGATTATAATATCCCCAAGATTATTAGAGATTGCCACGTACTGATCTTTGAGAACTGTAATGCATTATAACAGGAGCACTGCAGGTGAGTTAGCAACAGATCAGCTGGGGCATATACAGCCTTTAAACTGCCATCTACATTCCAGACACAAGTCCAATAGCCCACATTCCAAACAAACAGGATCCTAAAGGTTAGAAATTTTAATGTAGAATGAATTCCAAGTGATGAAGGCCCTGTGTTACAATTCTACCATGTCATTCCTGAAAGGCAAGGAACTTTGGACCAGGACATCCTCAAAGTACAGATCATGCTGGAACAACGTCCAAGCAAAGCATCTGTTTACGCAGTTAACTAGAGGAGAGTTGAGGTGTTCAGTAGTATGTTGCTTCTTTCTTTCTTGGTCAAATACTTGCTTTGCCACATGTCCTGAGCTAGCTTGTGCCTTCCACTGTCACTTTTCAGCAACCTTGACTGGGACATGGTGAGGGATGGAGCAGCACAAAGGGAGTACACACATTTTGTTATGACACACCAGCTGTAGGGACCTCAATAACCTTGGTGTGCTCCAGCTTAAAGAAAGTCTCACAATTCCTAGGATCAACACTGTGTATACAGTCTTTATTCAATACACAAACTATCCTCACCAAGAGCAGCTCGCAGGTCCACAATCAACTCCTCCGGGTAGACACTCCTCTGCTCCCATATTGTGAATATTCGCTCCACAGATTTCCGAATGGAAGGATCCCTAGAGAAAGTCAAAAAGAGGAATTTTGTGAATTGGTGCTAGCTTTGGACCACAGAGTGTTTTAGCTTTTTACACTTGGCAGTTGATTAAGGTGTAAAGTTTGTTATTTGACACTGCTTCCTCCACTGTGCCCGTTTTTCCTCTCTGACAGGAGCCCAAGAATGTACATGGCAGTTTTTTTTTTAAAAATGGATCACTCCTTGTTTCCTCATTCTGGTCTATTTTAACACTACTGCACCTAATGATCATTCACATAAAATTAACTTCTACATATTTTACACATCAATACAGAGAGTGCCTTATCTGATCAACTCTCTGGCTCTCCACTATTTCCCCTCCCTCCTCTCAGCGTCTCACCATCCTAAAATCATCCTTAAAGGCTTGTTTTATCTTCAGGCTACAGTGCTGTTCAAGGGTACACACCCACCCAGACACAACAGTTTGTTTTTTTTCTTTCGATGTTGCCTAGTATGTATTCCTCGCTCTGTTCTATTACTCTTATGCTCTTGGCAAGATATGTTCTCCCTGTACTGCACGCAAAACTTTTCACTATACCTAGGTACATCTGACAATAATAAATCAAATTAAAAATCAAATCAAATCATGCTTGCATTGCTAACACCTTTTTGGTCCAATTTCAGTAGGTGCTTGGCCCTATTTTAGGTAACACTAAGAAACTACACAGAGGCACAAATTTCTCGCTTCACCTTTTGTAAAAAGAAAATCAAAGATAGGAACGAAACTAGAGATAACAGTGTGGAGCTAGAGGGACACAGCAAGCCAGGCAGCATCAGAGAAGAAGGGTCCCGACCCGAAACTTCAACTTTCCTACTCCTCTGATGCTGTCTGGCCTGCTGTGTTCCTCCAGCTCCACACTGTGCTATCTCTGACTCCAGCATCTGCAGTTCTTACTATCTTGAGGATCAAAACTAGTTGGATTCTCCCCAGTTTCCTCTGAAAGGAACTCTGCAAGTCAATGCCCATTGCTGACTGAAAAAAATGACCAAGAAACCTGCAGTTACAAAAATTTGCCAATATTCTACTGGAGAAGGGAACAAAGGTTTCCTTGAGAGGTTGCATTTATTTGCTTTAGTATGAAGTGTAGCATTGAGTGCCACCCATGCACATCTGCCAGCACCACGATCTAAAGTGCCCACCTGCTCCAAGAAGACCATCATCCCAATGCCAAGGGAAAATCATGCAGCATGCCTCAATGACTACCGCCTGGTGGCTCTGACCTCCATAATTATGAACTGTTGAGAGATAAGTCATGACTCGCGTCAACTCCAGCCTCCCAAAATTGTCTTGATCCTTTGTAACAGCAGCGCAACAGCAGACGCCATCTCCCTAGCCCTACACACATCCCTGGAACATCTGGATAACAAGGAAACCTACATCACATTACTACTTATTGACCACAGTTCCGCCGTAACTCCAAACAAACTCATCTCCAAACTGAGACCTAGGTCTTGGCTCCCCTCCGTAACTAGATCCAACTGCCTGACAATACCCATAGACAATGAGTAAGATAACACCTCCTTCACACTGATGCCCCGCAAGGCTGCATACTCAGCCCCAAATTCCGCTCCAAAACCATTTACAAGGTTGACAACACTACTGTTGTAGGTTGAATCTCAAACAACAATGACACAGAATACAGGAAAGAGACAGTGTTTAGTGGCATGGTGTAAAGACAACAATCTCTGCATATTGCCCCTGTCTGCATCAACGGTACTGAGGTGGAAATGCCAAGAGCATCAATTTCCTGGCAGTGATGACAACAACAATCAGTCATGGTCCATCCACATCAACGCAACAGTCAAGCACAACAACATCTCTGCTTCCTTAGGATGTTAAGGAAATCTGGCATGTCCACAAGGAGTCCTACCAAATTTTACAGATGCGCCACAGAAAGCATTCTATCAGGATGCATCACAGCATGGTATGGCAACTGCTCTTCCCAAGACCATAAAAAACTAGAGAGTTTTGAATGCAGCCCAGTCCCTCTTGCAAACCAACCTGCCATCTATACCTCCCACTGCCCCAGGAAAACAATCGATATAATTAAAGACCCCTCCCACCCTGGTTATACTCTCTTCCACCCTCATGTCAACCAGAAGATACAAAAGTTTGAATATGTGTGCAAACAGTTTCACAAACAGCTTCTTCCCCACTGTTAAGACTTTTGAAAAGACCTCAAATGTTAATTCCGATCTCACTCTCTGCACCTTCTCTGCGGCTGTAACACTGTGTTCTGCAACCCCGATGCACTTTGCATGATATGATCTGCCCTTATAGCACACAAAACAAGATGTTTCACTGCATCTCGGTACATATGACAATAATAAATCAATCACAGCATGTAGCTGGAGTCAACCAGAACAAGGACAGCTGTGTCAACTGGAGAAATCATTCTCCAGCGTAAGTGGGAAAGCCAGAGACATTTCCTAATCTAACGCATGTTTTTACAACAACGGATGCTGAAAAATCTCCAGTCAGGCAGCAGTGAACAGAAACAGGGGCAACCATACCAGCTTGATGACCTTTCACCAGAATAGAGTGGGAGGCAGACATGGCACACCTCATGTTGAGACGTTCTGGTTGCTGGTCTCCACATACAAGTTGGACACAGACAGAAAGAGGAGGATGATGGAGTAGCTGGTTAACAATAAAGAAGAACTGAGAATTAGGGGCCTCCTTAAAACCTGTGTTAACTCAACATTCCATATTTGGTATTTCCTGTGTAGCATGAGACCCCCATCTGTGTCAAATTAATAGCAAGCCTTCTGCAAATGTAAACAAATCTAGATGAAAGCAGGGTCTTAACTCACATCAAAGGTTTATCAGGCATCGTTCTATTCTATTATCAACAGTGTAAAAAATTAAGGTCGCTTTGGTCCTTGAAGAAATGAAAACTAATCTTTAAGTGGAGGCAGGTAAATGGACAACACATGACTTATCAGTAGCTATCCCACATGGCAGAGGGGAAACACAGGTGACTGACACAGCATTGACAGTTGGTCCCAAAATAAAGTTTATTAACAGGGACAGGAGAAGGAAGGGGCAAGACCATCCATGGAGGCAAGCCACACCATCTCCTAGCGGGAAGGCTAGGAGTTCCTCCTCATCAGCCCGAGGAAAGAACAAAAGCTGTTGTTAGCGAAACTAAAAACTACCAGAGACCACCACAAAAGACAACTGGCCCAGGTGGGTGTGGAAGTGGTGGTGGTGGTGTGCATGGGAGTGTGCTGCCTCCAGTTCTCAATGGCTCCTGGATCAGTAAAGTCATACAGCATGGAAACAGCCCAACTCGCTCATGCCAACCAAGTTTTCTGAACTGGACTAGACCCATTTGCCTGGGTTTGGCCCATATTCCTCTACATTTTTACTATTAATGTACCTGTCCAAATGCCTTTTAATGTTGTAATTGTAGCAGCCTCCACCACCTCCTCTGGCAGCTCATTCTATACACACACTACCCTCTGTGTGAAGTTGTCGCCCCTCGGGTCCCTTTTAAATCTTTCCCCTCTCACCTTAAACCTAAGCTCTCTAGTTTTGGACTCCCCTACCCTGGGAAAAACACCTTGGTTATTCACCTTATCTATGCCCCTCATAATTTTACAAACCTTTATAAAGGTCACCCCTCAGCCACCTACATTCCAGGGGAAACAAGTTCCAGTCTAGTGTTCTCATCTGACACAGGTTGTACATTTCCTTTCTTCGCTTAATTAACTAATGCACCATATCCAAACTGCTGCTTCTCAATAAACGATCAGCAAATTGCAATAACTTGTTGACCGCCTGCATTAGGTAAATGAGATCACAAACCCCCTAAAATCAACCTAACAGTTTAGCATTAGTGGGCAGAAGTTCTATCCAATCCCACAGTTCAATACAGGACAAGAATTCAGGTAAGAAACTTCAGCAATGCATTTACCAGTTCAATATAGAAATAAAAGGTGTTTCCATAATCCATCTCTACTCTGCTACAGGATTTAAGCTGGCCCTTCTTGCTTTGAATCCTTGACATCACAACAAATTAAGGAGATCATTCAGCTCAAGGTATGCCACCTATCATATGACTGGACAGTGATAGCTTTTACACAGGAAATCCTAAACTTTAATCACACCATTGCCAGCCTTCAACCACATTTATAACGACATGCAAAAGTAAATAAATGTCTCAACTGTAATTTAACCAAAGATGGCTTACTGTGATAACATTTAAACACACTCCAAGCATCATCAGGTTAATAGGAAATGTAAAATAAACTAAATTACTAATGGCCTTTTTACAGATTGTATCACCTCACGATCAACACAATAGCTTTACTTTGAGTGAACATTTAATATAATGACGTGGCTTTCTGATTTATCAGAACTCCAAAAGCCTTCGTTAGAACTTTGGCTCCACTTGGTAGACATTTCACAAGCTGTAACGCCATAGGGAGTGATAGACGCCATTTTTTTCTTGAGGCTGGGCCATTCAATGCATTAACTGATTATGTTACGACACAAGACCATATATGCACAGGATGAGCAAACATCAGGTAGTGTGCCCAAGTGGACTAACACACTGGATTGAGGCTCCAATCTCTCTCAAAGTGCGAGTTCAGATCTCACCACTGCGAGTGTGCTTCAGTGGCTCCTTGAGGTGAACAAATGGCAGGATGAGTAATCAGGACCACAGTAATGCATACATACTGCTAAAGAGGATCATACAAGCACACATGCAGACATGTAGGGTGCTGTTTATTTCAGGAAAGGGGTTGGCTGCTTGTGTCTGCATGGCAGCTTAACCCAGTCACACAAAATGGTTAGTGGCATATGCCCAGGATTCGGACACTGCAGTAATATACAAGTAGTGATGTCCAGCTTTAAATGCCCTTTGCGGACATTACGCCTGAAAAGTTGACAGCTATTGTGGGATATTTTCTCACAGTCATTACATCTCCTTGAAATTTCAGTGACAACATGAATACTCAAAACACATTTCAACTTGTCATGTCGAAGAAAGGCAGCCTAATTTTAACAAGTTCAGCTCCTCCACAAAATACTCCCATTCCCATGATACTTGACCTCCCAAACAACTGGGATTCCAATTTTAAACTAATTGATAAATCCCATTCTGACTTAAACTCCTTGAGATAGTGATTTTTTTTCTCCCTGTAGTAATACAATAAGATTGCTATTTGATTTTATGAAGTTCAACTGAAAAATATTCAGCTTACTGGAGGAAAAGCAAACCTGCCATCACTAAAGGGAAAAGATAGCAATTACAGAAAATGCATATTCAACCAGACTGGTTTAAAACGTTTAGCAATTCACCCAAACGCAATGCTGCCAAGTTTAACTGAGAGAGACAGCTGCATTAACATAAATAGTTAAATCTTGCCATACTCCACTCTTCTCTCAAGGGTGCAGGCTACAAGTGTTCAGAAAGCAGCAACCCAAACACAACTTGACCAAGTGGCCATTCAGCAATGGTATGACAGGAAACTGCACATATCACAATTCAACACTTTCAGGGTGAAAGTATTTAATTACAATGCCACCTTGCAATGTTACCACTGTCCGCAAGTGTACGGCAGCTTAAAGCTTGCCCACAGGACACAAAATAATGTCAAATCAACAAGCAGTCTTTGCAGGGGATTATGAAAACTTCAAACACTGAAACAATTTACTGTTTATAATGTCCCACTTTGTTCTTGCTCGGCTGACTTAAAATTTTAAGCATGAGCTGCCAACATAATTAGAAAATTTACTTTGAAATATTGGAAGTCGTTCCCAACTGAAACTTCAAAACAAAACGTTCAGAACAATTACTTTTTTTACAATAATTTATCTTTTCCGAGGCAATTTAATTCCAAATAATACCATTGAGAGTTCTCTTCTGATCTCTCCGCAAATAACGACATGCTAAGCCACATAAACCAAGAAGGAGCAATCTCCCATCACTGCTGAGTTAACAGATTATTAGGCAGTTGGGCACTGACATCAGCACTTCTGTATTTTCACTGATTTTGGAACACATGGGCAAGACCTCGTTTATTCCCTACAGCGCTGAGGTGTTTGCAAACCCACTGTACTCCTTGTCCAGCAGGGAAACTATGTTTGACTCAGTCACACTAAAGGAATGGCACAGTTCTGTCCAGGTTAGTGCAATTTGAAACATGGAAGCAATGATTCTCCCACAGATCTGTCACATTAACTGGAGTGCAGGGAAATGCCACTGAGGCACGCTTGGCATGCTGCTGCTGAGCATATTGCAGAAAGCAACTGCTGTGTCCAGTTCTGGTTGCCCTATTATAGGAAGGATATTATCAAGCTGAAGACAGTTCGGAAGAGATTTACCAGGATGTTGCTGGCTATGGAAGGTTTGAATTATAAAGAAAGGCTGGATAGGCTGGGACTTTTTCCCACTGGAACATAGGAGGTTGAGAGGTGACCTGATAGAAGTACAGACAGAGTCGATGGTAGTTGTCTTTTCCCTCAGATGGGGAATTTCAAGGCTAGGGGACACATTTTTACGGTGAGGAGAGAGATTTGAAAAAGACGTGAGGCAATTTTTTTTTTTTCACAGAGGGTCGTTTGCGTGCAGAATGAACTTCCTGATGAAGTGGTGGATGCAGGTACAATTACAACATTTAAAAGACATTTATTGGATGTACGAATAGGAAAGATTTACAGGGATATGGGCCAGGAGCAGGCAGGTGGGACTGGTTTAGTTTGGGATTATGGTCAGCATGGGTTATTTGGACCGAAGGGTCTGTTTCTGTGCTGTATGACTCTATGATTGTGAATAGTAAAGACTGCAACAGTGTGCTGGTGAGACAGGCAGATACTATGTACAGGCATGGGGATAGCATCAGGCAGAAGGAAGACTGAGTATTCAAGCTTCCTGTTACTAATTCCTATACAAAGTGAAAGTGAGCACATATGGAAGTCATGTACGACTTGATGTTGGTTTCCTGATGATGCCCCCAACAGTTACGCAGCTTACCAACATTATACAGCCAGAGAGATATACAGCACAAAAACAGAATCTTCGGTCCAACTCGTCCATGTTGACCAGATATCCTAAAATTAATCTAGTCCCATTTGCCAACATTTGGCACATATGCGTCTATTTATATCCCCATCCAGATGCCTTTTAAATGTCGTAATTGTACCAGCCTCCACCACTTCCTCTGGCAGCTCACTCCATACATACATCACCCGCTGCCTGAAAAAGTTGCCTTTGGGTCACCTTATTGCTATGCTCTCTAGTTATGAACATCCCTATCCTAGGGAAAAGACCTTGGCTATTCACCTTGTCCGTGCACCCCTCCGACCCCTGACGCTCCAAGGAAAATAGCCACAGCCTATGAAGCATCTCCCTATCACTGCTTAGAAACTTACAGATGGGGTATGTATAAATAAAGTTGATGTGGAGTGCAGAGGGAAGGTGGATGAAGGATTGGGGTGAAGGTTGGTTAGTTTCCCCGCAACTATATCCAGGTCACACTCAACACTTATAGGGTAATAGAAAACCGGATAAATCCCAATACAAAATTAATTCTTAAGACTACAGGCAGCTGTTCACACAAAAAACAAGGAGGAATGGAGTATGCAGCACACTCAATCAAGCAAAATGAGTGATAGATGGCACAGGAGCTGGTTGTTCTGCTCAGTCCATGTCGGTACTCAGACAAGTGGCATAATTACTCTTGCTCCCCTGCTCAATCCATGGAGCACTGCAGACCTGTTTTCTTCAAGTCCAATTTTCTTTTGGAATCCACTTCCACACCCTCGTGGGCAGACACTTCCAGGTCAATAACTTTGAAATTAAAAGTTACCCTTTGAAAAGAGTTGCATGACCTACCTCACCAAAGTGCCGGCTTCAATCAGAACCTCTGAAAACGCATCTCGAAAAATAATCGCGTTCTTTCTTTTGCAGTTTTGAATAACGTCATTGGCAACATAGAAAAGGTTCAGTCGATGAGGAATTGAGGCTAAAGAGAAAACAGAAAGCTCAGTTAATTTTTGAAAATACCCTGTTAAGTTGAGCAGCAGAACAACGGGATCCTGAATTACCAAAACCAAAAGCTCTTACACTGAAGAAAACCAGCAGCAGTGCAAAACACAAATGGCCAATGGCATAGGTAATAAATACTTGGAGTTTGCAGAACCTTAGATTACACGTACAAAATTTATTATGTTTAGACCTAAAGCAAGTTGTGCTATTGTGTTTTCAAGCTAACGGTTTACAGAGCCATATAAAAACTCTGGTTGAATTACACTCGATGACTGGTTTGCGATGCCAAGTGATGCCAACAGCATGGGTTCAATTCCCACACTGACTGAGGTTACCATAAGACCATATGATGTAGGAACGGGAGTAGGCTGTTTAGCCCCTCGAGCCTGCTCCACCATTCAATAGGATCATGGCTGATCCGGTACTCCTTATGTCCACATTGCTGAATTCTCCCCAGAAACGTTGATTCCCAACTGAACAAGAATTATCTATCTCAGCCTTAAATTTATAGAAGGACGCTGCCACCATAGCTCTCTGGCAAGGAGTTCCAAAGACACAACTCGGAGAAGAAATTCCTTCTCATCTCAGTCTTAAATTGGCACACCTGTATTGAGACAATGCCCTCTGGTCCTAGACTCTTCCATGAGGGGAAACATCTCAGCATTTACTCTGTCAAGCCCCTTAAGAATCCTATATGTTTCAATGAGATCATCTCTCATTCTTCCAAACTCCAGTGAATAGAGTCCCAACCTGTTTAGCTTTTATCCCTCCCTACCAGGGAACATCTGAGTGAACCCGCTCTGATGTGCTTCCAGATATATTCTCCCCAGCACCTTGTACAGTTGTAGTCAGACTTCCCCACTCTTTTACTCCAACCCCACTCCTTGAAATGAAGGTCCTGGCTTCTCAGCCTCCCCCCTTCACCCTCAGGTTAAATTCACCACCAGTCATCACTCTCTAATTACAGACTGGGGCTATGGCGACTTTACTTCATTACACTAACATACTTTCACATCTTATTCTTACTGTGCCCAATAATAAGTGGTTACTACAAAGACTACAGTTTATCTTTCAAAATGATTCTAACTTGAGCCTCCCGTGGAAATGGCTTACAAAAAAAAAAAAGCAATCTCATGGCAACAACTGCAGTCATTACTGTGACTATGCAAGCTGCTCAATTGTTCTTATTGCATTCCTTGCAAATGTTCCTCAGGTAGTTATTTATTCCCTTAAATTCCCAAGTGCTGCCAAATTCCTAATTTTGTTTTGGGCTCACATGATTATGGATTGCATCAAGCCGCCTTTCACCTAAAGCTTCAAAAATGCAGGACACATTCCAAAGTGCCACGCAGCACACGGGCTGGCTAATCGGCACACTGTGCTGGTGTGTACTGTTGTGAAGAGTTGTCTAATAAAGCCCACTCGCTTTCTTTCCTCATAGCTCTAAGAATGTTTTCTCTTCAAGTTGTTACCCAATTTCCTTTGGAACGTTATTGCTGAACCTGCTTCCAACACCCTTTCAGTGTATTCCCAGTCATGACAACATTAAAATGTCCCAAAACCACTCCACTGACTTTAGGCATGATCGCTCTTCATAGATCACTGCTTATTTTAAACACTGCAAAAAAGGTGCCCGATCACCAATATCTAGAGGAATAAAAAGGAATACTACATCAAAATGAAGGTTTGGAACCCTGTATAAAACAAGAACAAAACAAAGGCTGCTTTTCTAGATTTAAAAAAAAATTAGATAGTCTGCACCCATGTGAAAAGGGCACAAAGTCATGTTTGACAGCTCTGCCATAATGAGCACACTCAGAGGCCAGCAAGAATTTACAGGTACCTGTTTTGACAGCAGCTTTGAATTCAAAATCTAACAGCTTCAAGACAAGGAACAGTCCATCAAATTACAGTGTGAACTGGGAGGCATGGTAGCTCAGTGTTTAGCACTGCTGCCTCACAGTGCCAGGGACGCAGGTTCGATTCCACCTCGGGTGACTGTCTGTGTGGAGTTTGCATATTCAGCCCATGTTTGCGTGGGTTCCCTCCAGGTGCTCTGGTTTCCTCCCACACAGTCCAAAGATGTGCAGGTTAGGGTGGATTGGCCATGTTAACTGTAGGAGTAGTGATCACTGTCACTCAAGCTAAAAGCAATTAGTTATAATTAGATCTTTGATGCTGGCTGAATGATTGTGAGTTATTACTAATATATTATTACTTTTTGTTCCCCAAATGATTTTTAAATGGTTTTATATCCCTTTAAGTTGCTGTTTAGCATACAATAAGCAGCTTCTTGCCTGGGTAGTTGAACTGTGAAGAGGGAAATTGTGCTAAAAGGGAAACAAACAAACAAAAAAAAAAGTTTTATTTTAGAAAGTTAACATTTAAAAATCTAAAATGGAGACCTGGAGGTCACAGGAGAGTTTGGGGAGTGTGGGGGTTGTTATTTCTAACACAATTATGCAAATCACAACCTCAAAAATCTGTGATCCAACAGTAAATGCAAGATGAGCGAGAAATATACTAACATGCAACGACTTTTTCACAGGACAGGGGTGGGGTGGGACATGATACAGAGTTGTGGCAGAATTCAGAAAAGTTGATCGATTGATTGATTAATGTTACGTGTACTGACGTACAGTGAAAAGCTCTGTTTACGAGCAGTACAGGCAGATCATAGGTTGTAAGAAAACTTAAAGGGATACAAGTTACATTACACAGGGTGAGCACTAGGCGAGATCAACGTTAGCAAGATCAGCATTATTTGAGACAAGAGAGAGTCCACTCATCAGTCTAATAATGGCCGGGAAGAAGCTGTTCCTGATCCTGTTGGACATATGCGCTCAGGCTTCTGGATCTTCTGCCTGACTGAAGAGGTTTAGGAGATCATTACCGGGGCACAATGGTTCTTTGATGATGTGGCCGCCTTTCTGCGACACCGAGCTGTGTAAATGGAGTCTATTGATGGGAGGTTGGCTTCTTGATGGTCTGGACCATGTACGTAACCTTCTGTAGTTTCTTATGGTCCTGGGCAGAGCAGGTGCCATACCAAGCCATTGCACACCCGACAGTATACTTTCAGTGGTGCATCTATAGTCGTTGGTGAGGGTCCTTATGGACATGCCAAATTTCCTGAGCTGCCTGAGGAAGAAGAGGTGTTGTTGTGCCTTCTTGACCATCGTGTCTTTGGGGGAAGTCCAAGACAGGTTGTCAGTTATCATCACTCCAAGGAACCCGATGCTCTCCTCCCTCTCGACTCAGCTCTGTTGATGTAGATAGGGGAGTGTTCTCCTCCTTTCTTTCTGAAAGTAAAACCAGACCAGTGCAGGCTCAGAGTTTCCCAGGGTGAAACAGTATACACTGCCAAATGATTTTCACACTATCCCAACACCCACCACCTCACACAAGGGATGGCCTAAATTTCTAAACCTGCACCTGCTATTGTAAACTGTGCCTATTTTTCTGCATTTTTGATTGTAGACTGAAATGGAAAAAGAATCGTTTTAAAAACAAGGGTTGTTGAAGGATTACTGCATGTTTTAACAGCAATTTCACCTACGCTGATTGTAAGTGCTGTTTACATAGCTGTTGCCCAAGCAGTAACTGAAGTGTAGTTTGCAGATGAGCAGGAGCCAAGGGGTGTATACAAATGGAGATTCAGCTGCAAACGAGTAGCTGATGCGTTTCTCGACTAGTGAACAATTATCAATGACAAAGGCCTTCTGTTTACCAGCAACCGAGTGTTTAATTCTGGGGTAGCTGAACAACTTGGGGCTGTGAGCAGCCTTCAGATCTTCACTAGCTCAGGAGCTCTGTGTTCTCTGCATCAAAACCCACTTCAAGCCTGAAGATAACCAGATGATTCTCCCTTCCGCAGTTGCTGTAAGCTGTGACTTCTAAGTAACAAAAGGTCTCCGACTTATAAGTGTAAACCAGTCATCCTGCGCCTGCTGCAAACCAGTTAAAGCATCTGGAGAAGACCGAGAAGCAGCGTTCTACTCTGTGGAAGAATCATCTCAGCGACCACTGAACTGTTATCCCAGTTTTCCCTCTGTTCAAAACACCCATGTTTTTCCTCCTGTCTGTCTGCATGTATATATAAGAGAGAGTTTATAAAAGGGATTACAGTTTTAACTAGTAGAGTTATATTCCAATGATTCATAATTGTTACCTGGAGCTACAGTCTATTTATTTGCAATAAATAGGAATTATTGTTAAATGCAGAAAACTGGCTCATGCTGTCAACCTGGATCAAAGGGGCAGAAGTTGGAGAAATTTTGATTCTTAAAAAATTTAAACTTTTGTGACAACACCAGGAATAGTGGGGCTGTGAGATGCAACTTAATTTTATCTATAGCGTTGTATGTTTAAGTCAAAATGCAGATAAAGAACAAGTTATAATCCCATAACTGGTTAATTACAAAACATCAGAGAGAGCAAGAACTGCACATGCTGGAGTCACAGACAACACATTACAGAGCTGGAGAATCACAGCAGGTCAGTTATTACAAAACTGGATTTGCCCATCAGAAATTCAGAACAAAACACAAACTGCAAATCATTTTTGCTCACTTCAAATTGTAATCCATTTCTAAAATTAAAGCCACATTGTTTAGGTGGTACACACTAACTGTAGAAACCAGTGCGAGGGAGTTGCCTGTGGTGAGACTTGTAGCATCCTGGAACGTGTCATGTAGAAATACATGGGATGCAGATTTACACACAGGAGTTTACAAGGTGAAAAACTCAAATTTAGCAAAGCCATTTGTGGAAGTGGTATCTGGAAACCAAAGTCCTGTACTGAATCCATGACAGAGCGGGAACTCATCAAGCCATTAATGTGCACTTAACAGTAGGATATAGACCAGCACAAGTAAAATACTGGAAAATAGCCGGTGAACAGTGATATATGGTATTGCTTGAAGACTTAGGAGGGGAAAAGAGTAGATTTAAAAACTTGTTCGATAGTTCAATAAA